CGAAATATAAAAAACAGTGCGTGAATGACACTTGACATACTTAACATCGTTAGTAATTGCTAGCTTTTCAGATATATTTATTATTGAGAGTGGTAGAGAAGAGAGAGCGAGAAAGAAAGGAAAGAGAAAGAGAGAGAGAGAGAGAGAGAGAGAGAGAGAGAGAAAAGGAGAGAGGGAGAGAGAGAAAATGCGATATTCGGCGTTGTACACATTCCTCCATTTTCTATTATTACGACATGTTATAACCATGTTATAACCATGGCCACCAATAATTATAATAACGAATTCCCACGCCCGATTTGACGCGTTTGCGCCGATGCCTCTTACAACGCAAATACGTCACGACATTCGCTAACGTTGCAAGTTCGGTCTGCTTTACTGTAAGAATTATCGATCATACCCGCCGTAAAACACAAGTATGCAGAAATCACGTAGGTACGGTGAAAAATATAGGGCGCCCGGTAAGTGACTATGTCATAACTATGAATCTTACAAGGTGGCAGACGTTTCTGTAGAGCCACCTCTAACAAGAAATAAGTGAAATTGATTTTACCCAGATCTATCCACAGAACACACACACACACACACACACACACACACACACACACATATATATAGATACAAAATCTATAGTTGCACGTGCTATACATTGTTGAATCAACTGGAACATATCTAGCTTAATTAATAGCTTTGGTACATTTATTGACTTTTTTCTTTTCCTTTTGTTTTTTATTTATTCGCTTTTTCCCAAACATATCGAAAATATAATCGTGTGTGATTCGCGCGCTTTGAACAACGCCGATAGAGTTTTCACCGCAATATTTCTGCGTGTGCAAATGACACTCGACAAAAGCCACTCTATAACACGTAACGTCACAGTCGATAATTGTTACATTCGAACATGTTTTTGTTATTACGACACGCGCAGCTTGCCCTTCGCAATTTTCAATCGATGTAATTGCGTTAGTGTAAAATCGCCAATTGTCGGATCAATAAATGAAAAGAAAATTTCGTAAAGAAATAAGAAAAAAGGAAAAATTATGGAACATTTCAATAATTTACATGCCAGATACAAGTGGGAAAATGTTTTCTATATAATCCTCTAGACTTTAATTTACGACTTTGCTCGAGAATACGAAGTCTTTAAAGACTTGGTATTTATTGTGTAAATTTCAAAGATTTCTGATTGACAACCTATAGAGATTCGTCAATATGTGTAATGTCTAGAAAAACTGATCGATTTGATCACTGATATCAAATATTGATAGACGACCACTTTGTTCGATCGAGGAATTAAAGGCTCTTTAGCTAGCAACTCCGGCGCATTCTTAATCTTTAACGCGCGCCAAGAGAGAAGACGATTTAATCTCACCGTGAGCGCGGAGCGGATTAATAAACGAGCTGAAAGCGTCCATCTGCGGCACCGACACGAAAGCATGAAAACCTGAAGAGACTACGAGACATCCTTCTAAGGCTCTAAACCCGGAGCCAAGAAAGCTCCGGCGTCGTGAAAGTGTCGGCGCCGTGCCGCGCGCCGTCCCGTATCCAGAAACGACGCTGAAGTACTTGCAAAATCGCAGTACGTGTCCGAACTTCCCCCAGCCTCCGACCTCTCCCCCTCCCCCCGAGTCTCACTTGTCCAACCCCGTAAGTTTCCCAAACTTGGTGGCGTAGCCTCGCCTATTATAACGACCAAGTTCCAGTCTGTCCGGACCCATCCGTCCACGCACACCAGCGTGATGTCCTTTAATATATTCCCATGTAACGTGTCACCGGCTATGTCCATGTACACGCTCGGCTTGTGTCCGTACGCGTGTTTCCGGCCCTACGTCCTTTAAACTCAGGTCTGTTCCTGTCATAAGACGACGCGGCGCTATCGATCGATGCTAACCGAAAAGCGATACGAGGATGCAAACGAACGGCCAACAAAGACAGACAGAGACTCCTTTGAAGACTTTGATAATTGGACATTTCTGTATAGAAACGAGTTACATCTCACCATTATTATTATTATTATTAACTCTAATAAAGCATTCCATGGTAAAAAAAAGAAAATAATTTCTTTCTTGAGTTCGCTTCAATGTTTATATTAAATTATTTAGTAGAAAGAGAAAGAGAGAGATTTAATTGTGCATAGTTGAACTTATTAAGTCAATAAACGGAGTTTAAATCGTTAGAAAAATATACCAATTATCTATTTTCCACTTAGAAGGAAAATCTAAAAACATTAGCGACGATATGAGTTCCGAACGTGAGGCGTTACGCAATCGGGTACGCGGAAGTAAATGCGAACGCGTAAGGCAAAATCCAATCAAATCCCTTACCGCCGGAAATACGGATAAGCGACTCGGGTCTTCGTCAATCTCTTGTGATCAACGGAACGGAATCTCTAGACCTTTCTGCCTGATTGACAAGGGCAGAATATCTTTGCGCCTGAATCGCAGCGCCTTAATCGAATTCCCGTCGGTGCTCGGTGAACTTGTTTAGTATCGGGAACCGGAGACAATTGGCCAGAGTAAATGTCGAAGTTGTACGAATAATGTACTTGCGACGCGAATACGCGCGCAAGGAAAAAAATGTGAAGAGATAAGAAGATTTCCATGCAAATTGCCAGCGCGTCGTTATTAAAAAATTCCTTTATCCTCGCCAGGAGTCGTGACTGAAATATTATTTGATTTATCTTTTTCTTAAAATATACATTCCGTTCTCGATGGGAAATTAATTTTCGCGTGACTTGCCTCGATGTTGAAATGATGATGCAAAATTCGTAGACACAAGTTATGCAACCGAAAATACCGGTCAAAGACGGAAATTTAGACGGGGATTAACGAGATCCTCGGAGCTTTTCGCACGAGAGCTCTACGCTGTTAACGATATTGCTGCTTCCATCGTCTCGTATTCAAAATACGCGACAAAATCAATATCGGAATAAGTCAAAGAAATCTTACATATTCGCGAAATTTGATTACGCGTTCGCGTGTTCGTAGCTTTACACTGGTGGCGCCAAGTATAAGTGGTACTTATGAAAAATGCAAGCCGTGCGCTATGCTATGCAATGACTTTGAGATAGTTTGAACTAGTTTGCAGTGGTGTACGGTGCCGACAGTTTATAGTTTAATGAACGAACGTCATTGAGCTACTTGAGGAAAGAAATGTACGATCAACCGCGGTCAGCAAATATAAAAAGCATTGAAGGTTACTCTTTAAATAACATGGAGTACATACTATCGGAAAATCATTAATTTAAATCCACTTATAAAATTATCTACCATATCTCGTTGAAAAATATGTCGACGTGACTCTTAATTTCAAGTCAGTTTGTACAAATATGTGCCAGGAATATGTCATTACAAATTTTTAAAGTCTCTCGAAATCTTAAATTATAGAAGCGGAAAAAGAAGCTTGCGACACACACACACACAGACACATGTACATATACATCTAGCGAATTTCTGCTTGGCATTTAACATTTCGTTTTCCTTTTCACCGCACCAAGGAATTGCGATTGTGTCTGTGTGTCCGAGAAAGGTTGGAACACGAGCGATATAATAAGGTCAGAGGTTTCCACTACGTTACTTATGTCATCTGAACACGAGCGTAACTGCCTAAAGGTTTCATAAAAATAATTGGACGCTCAATGGAACGAGAGAAGACGTCCAAAGAAATGATGCAACGAATTTAACCGACGTAAGTTCTTGATACGTTTCCGCAATATTCTGTATCAACAAAGTGATATCCTCTTATACCATCGACCGACAAAGAACCGCGGATATTTCTCGGTGGCTTCTTATTCCGCACGTAATCATTCACTATGGATTTGCGGAAATGTCTACCGCATGAATCGCGTGGTATCATAAATTCTACCGCGGCTCTGCGTGGCAGTATTCAATTTTATAATTTTAATGTTATGCGCGCGCATTATGTTATTTTATGATATTTTATCTCGTAGTTACACAATGAATTAATTTTCTCGAGCAAAATATGAATTAACTTTAACTGATACTTTAACTAAAAATAAAAGTTTATATGTAAAACTGCAATCGCGAATACTTTTATGAAATTATCAGATTTAAAAGTTTTTAAAGCAATTATTTTTTAAGCTTATGATTGCGCGAGCTATTTTATAGCTTCGATAAATGTGATTCTATGATTGTAAATACACAAATTACAATTATCTATATCTTCTTTTTTTACATATGAAAGGGAAGGAAAATTGGATCTGATTCTGGCTAGTCAGAATTAACGATTCCATTCGGAAAAAAAAAGAAAGAAAAAGCGAATAGGGATCATCGATGCCGGAAAGCGATCGGGCGCTTGTTTTTCATTGGTCCTGACAAAAATATATTTTGCCTCTCTGGTTCTCGTTGCGACATTCTCTATCATGAGAGTCAGACAAAAATAAAATTGGAGCTTGCCGATGTATCGGTATAAAGTTTGGCTTTGTCTGATATTTTCTACCGAACGGGACGAATGCGCGGCATAGAAACGGCGCAGAAGTATAACTCCCAGTTTGTGCTTTATAGAAACAGACAAGAATATAGGAGATTCGTAAAAATGTAAAAATATGAAGATATGTTTTTCTTAAATATTGTTTCAAATACAATTATTAAAAGCATTGAGTTTCCAATAAATGGCACATAACGAACGTTAATAAAACGCTCGGATAAATCGAGAACGATTTTTGTGAGATTGCCATTTATTTTGCATCGTAGAACATATTCCAAGTTAAATATTAACTTCGATCGATACAAAAACGGGACAATTTATTGCGTTAATATTTCATATTTTACATCTGTCGTCGTACGCGAAATTAGCGGAACGGATCAACTCGTTATACGAAGTAAGTAAAAAGGTAACGTAGGCTACTAGGTAGAGGAGGCTACTAGGAGTGCAACGCTAATAATAACGCGCGGTCGTGATCTTGTCGTGTGTTCGTTCAAACGCAACAACTACCGTATTGACGGGACGTATAAGAGGACGTACGCGCAACACCGACATACCCGATTTCTCGTCGACGGTGATACCGCTCCCAGCAACATACGAGGCAGCCTTCATTAGTCCGAGGAACAACAGCACTACACTCCACATGTTCTCTTGTTATTCCGCGCAAATCCTGGTGACGGAAAAGATTGCGATGTAACGATGCCGTGTGCGGGGATACGCACTCTCTCCCTCTCTCCTCTCCGATCCAGCACAACCGATCTGCGGTCAACTCGTCTACGAGCCGACTGTGTTCGCGTCCTGCTACCCACGTTAAGTCATCATTTCAATAGTCATGGAATCACTCACGGGCATTTACGCCACGATCATCAGCTCGACCGGCACCATCCCCTTCTCGTCCGAGTTGGAGTCATAAGAGGCGATCTGTACTCGCGACTGGCGATTATCACTACGTTCACGACTAGCTTCGCTCACTCGCGCGTTTTTTTAAATTTCTACGAAAGACACGCAGCGACGAAATATCAACACAGATAGCCGATAATAAATGTTTTCTTTCGATCCACTTAAAAGGCGCATCCCCCGTCGCCTACTCTGTCAAATATCCCGGCTCCGACGCGCGGTCGCCAATCTACCAGCAATAAAGCGCTTTTGGTACCACCGCGGCACCGCTGCTGTGCGTCCTGTTTTCGTCTCTAATTAAACATTAATTAAAACACCTGCGGCACCCGCGCATTCTCTGGCCGTGCACCGCTTCTTTTTTATCCTCCCTTCTCTCTCTCGCCTCTGTCCTTCCTTCCTCCCTCGATTCCCGTTTCACCACTGTTCGTTCGTTATTAAAGCGCGGTACGAGCGCGGTAATCTCCGAGACGGTGGAAAATCTCTTGCACTTCCGGTCTATCCAGGCGCCGCCACCGCCGATAACCCGAAACGTTCACCATGGTACCAGAGATCCCCAATGGTGTTGGAATGATTCGAGGAACAGTTCACCACTCGTTGTCGAAAGAACGAGGAGCTAGGGAAGATATAAAGAACGTTCTCCACCGATCCGCCAAAGACGGATGATTTTTCAAACCCGAGCAACAAACAGTGAATCAGTTGATATAAACGTAGTTGCGATCAAACAGTCTCCAGATTTATAATGCTAAATTGTCCATTATGTAGATATTATCGCGTCTCCAAGTTTTACTTTCATTTGCGTTACGGAACACGACACTGTCTTTTCGCAATAACGATCCTGGCTCCCGGCTCTTATCCACCCAGGCTAATTACAAAATCGACACGATCTTATGTCTGATCACTTCGTGTTCAGCCACAATTAGAAGTACGTCGTACGATCTTCGCGCTGGATAAACGCTTATCGTTTCAAGAATGTGCGAAGATGATTTATTTAAACGTTAACAATAACTCTGACGAGATTAAAGACATTCAAGGTTCACTTGGACAATTCTGGCTCACCGAACACGAGTTTGTCGATGGCGAACTATCGCAATATGTATATAAAAACCGAAGGACTGCGGAGATGTTCAATCACGTCGGACCACCACAGATTTGGGGGTTTTCCTGGAATCGGTCCAAGTAACGACCTAGGGGACGCAAAGGCCTGCAATCACGTTGGGGCAGCAATAATTGCGAACCACCTGGAATCGATTCGAGAGAGGATTGAAGAAACCGACGAATCCGATCACACAGTCAGAATTTTTTTTATCGATCAGAGATCATCCAAAACGTGGAACACCAAACCAGAGAATCTTGTGACAATTTTCATTCATCCCTTTGCAATAAATCATTTCGTCGCTCGCATCCAGTACATTACAGCTCGCACATACGTCAAAAGATTAAAAGCACATTAGGGAAATGAATATGCCTGTCCGTCGATGAAAATTCTGCGAACGCGTCCGTTGCAATGAACTTCGTTTAACACGGAAAGAAGAAAAGAAAATGTGAATTATTGCCTTTTTCACCCTATTCCTGTTTACATCCGTTTCACGGAGTCTGACATGTGCGAGTCGCGCGTCAAATTCGACAAGGTTCCACGCGTGTCGTCCGCGACGTCGCTGAGAAAACTTTGCAACACGTCGCGCACGTGTGATTTTCGGAGCTGCCGTCGGTTATCCCTTTCCCGGATTATCCCTCGATTATTTGCAAGTGGCACGAAGAGACGCGCGACAGCCACCCCTCGCGACGCAACGTAACACGCCACTGGGAACACGTGGTTCTCGACCGACGACGGACGGCACACTGACGGAAAAGACGAGCAAACGGCGCCGCGACGGACGCGCAGCCTGCAAAGCCTCCGAGGAGGTGGTGGTGGTGGTGGAGGTGGCGGTGGCGGTGGCGGTGACGGAGGAAGAGCGGAGAGCGCGGTAAAAGGGGTTTTCGGACTCGTGCACCACCACCGCCGCCACCGGGGAGAATACTAGGGCAGAAAGGGATGTCTGTTTCTATATCTAAAGATGCGCGTACTCGAATAATGCACGTTGCTCGATAGGGTGAAAGGGAGAATACATACGCGTGCTCCTCAACACCCCGTCGCGTCGACCACCTTCTACCCCGCGAAACAGAACGATATGCGAGCGCGAAGTGGCCCGATAGCATCGATAAACGTTTACCCGGGGGTTAGCCGAAAGCCCTGCAAACGGATATTTTATTCCAAACGAGAAACGAGATAAAGTAGTACGTGATGTCGTTTGATCCACTTGTTTATATATACGTGTATGATTAATTAATCATTCATCGATTGCGATCGATATGAACGCACCAATCAGAAGATACAAAATGCATGTTTATTCGCCAAAATCTGAGACGCGCTCTCGCACGGAGAGGTAAATTTAATAGACAAATAATTACTATTAATGTGAATTTGTGCTCACTGATAATTGGGTGTGCTTATACGTAACACAGTGAATCTGTATCTCTCGAGGGGATAAAGATATCCCCGTTTCGGTATCTAACAAGAATATGTACTATTGAACATCGGTGAACGCGAAAGAGATATATAGACCAATATAATGATTTGCCTATATAGTTACGTATACGCGAAAGCACGCGACTATAGATAATAAAAATAAACCAGAAAAAGCATGAGAGGGGACACCTGCTTATTTATTGTGTGAAGCGGCGCGACGCAAAAATAAATGGTTTAAATTATAGTTGTAAAATAACGGCCAACGCGTAAATTAGGCGGGTCGCTGAAACTGTTACGATACCCATGTAATTAGCCGCGCCGTAATATTTGCATATTACTCGGAACTTCTGCACCCGCGGAATGCGACGTACATACATACGTTACTACTGTGCGATACAAAAGGTCAAAAGCGAGCACCGATACACGCGCGATATATTTTACAAAATACCAAACTATATAAATGCACAGCTACAAATCACATAATTTTGATATTGAGTTTCGACTAATTACGCTATGAGCAGTTGAGCAGTGCACGGATGAGTTAGATTGGTGAAAAGATTATTTGGAAATAAAAGATATTTTAAATACTGTGGGAAAGAAAATCTTATAATAAAATATCTCTAACAATTTGCAATTGATTTTTGAATTTTATAATTATAATATGCAATCGACATCTATACATTTTAATACTTTCATAATGTGATAAAACTAGACTCTATCGATATTTCTTTTTTTTTTACTTTCTTCTTTTATTCAATATATCCAGTTCATCTCGGATGCATTCAGTTTTTATTTATCCAAGATATTGGTTAAATACAATTATTTTAATCAATATTGCTATTTTTGTTTTGACTAAAAATAAATTAAATAGGTCGCGTAATACGACATTTCCTTCATGTTTAAAGTTTTGATTCAGTTTGTGATATTTTCTTGTCACAAATATTTGCATTAAATTTACCGAAGGAATCAATAACAACATGTCAAACTGCATACTGCATATTGCACCACGGCAAACAGTACACCCTCATCATAACATTGTAATAATAACATTAATAACTGTCCGATTCTCGACGATCTTGATCTTGTAATATTGATTTCCCGATCCCCGGAAGAAATCTCGCTCACGCCAACGAGGTATTCTCGCGTACACGCGGACGTTGGAATAATAATTTAAAACGATTCGCAAGACAGCGGCCAATTTTCGCGTTGAACGTTAAATCTGGGAGGAGCCCAGGCCATTCCGCTCGGCGCTCGGCGCTCGGCACGAAGGTAGCTCTTGATAGTCGGGTTAAGATGCTTGCGCGTACTCGCTCGTCCGTGCACGAGTGCTTGCTTTCGGTTCAATGTCGAAGACGGTTTATAGTGGTTTAAGAGGACTAGAAGTCGGTGGCGCGGTTGGGGGCTGGGCGACGTTGGATGGGAAGGTGGAGGAACAGATCGAGATAGGGTGAGAGACCTCGAGGCGAAAGAGGCGGATGAGGAAGCAGATGCTCCCCAACCGGTGTCACGGATCATGGTCATCTTGAAAGCTCCTGAAAGGCAGGAATGCCCCGCGCGTCCTCTGAAAGCTATCTCTCCGAGGAGGGAACGACTCACTCCTCTCGCGTCGAGGTCGCGTGGGCTCGTTCTCTCGCACAGATATATGCGTGTGTATGTGTGTGCACGTGCGTATGTGTGCCGCGAATAGTGTGTAAATATGTAGAGGGCTCCCTCCCGAGGACGAAAAATGGCAGGTACTTTGCGGACGACGGTTTCATCCGGGGCTCGTTAACTCGTTTACTCGTGTCAACCTTCGCTTTCACGTTTTTCGCGCGTACATCCCTTCATCGACACCTCTTTTTATTCACCTTTTATAGTTTGCCAATCTGACCAGTTAGTTGACGTAGAAACGATAAATTTCAGAAAAAAAAAAACGTTAACGCTAGATTGACGAGATGACAAAAAGTCAATATTTTGAAAAATAATTATCTCACTCTTTGAATAGTTAGATAAGTTTCCATTTTCTTTTTGGCGTCTAAATTATGCAAAAGAGAAAACTCTTCTGAGAATCGTCTATGTAATTTTAAATGATTCACATATTACCAAAATTGTGCATCAAAAGTTCATAAAACCCATGGTAAACGATCTTGGTTCGTTACTCTGGCGTGCAATATATATTTCCGTTATTTTTGCATAAATCACATTTAATTACCGCGGGGCATGAGATTTCGTGACATCGAGAGAGGCACGAACTCCGCCGCGAGCGGTTATCGTCTCGTGTTCGCGTCGATCACATCGTGGAACACGGCAGACCACTCGATATGACCCGACACGGGAACAATATTTCGCGGAAAATAATATAATATACCATTGTTACTATGTTATGACGCTAAAGATCGCGCGAGCTTGTTAAATGCCGCAGCGATCGGAAGGACCCGAACGCGACACGCATACATCGAACGACTTTGTTCACGCGAAAATGTACGTGAATTTTCATGATCTCCTCTTCCCCCACCCGAGAAATTTTTACGATTGACGGTAATTTAAATAGTTTTTTGTAACACGGGTTCAAATCTTGGAATATTTTTCTGTTTAAAAAGTTCGAATCGGCGGATTTGCGACACTTATAATTTTCATTCGATCTTAAACAGACCGCCGCGAGAGAAGTGATTTTTTTTAAGTTGGTTCTCTGTTACGTAACTTCGCAAGAGCTGTCAGATTTTACTGATATTTAATTTTAGCAGAGAGTTAGACGTCATAATGCGGTATGAAACACTGAAAAGTTTGTCGAATGAATGTGCTTTAGCTCTGAAATATACCATATAATAATGGCTCTCGCTCTAAACAGAATACAATACGTGAATAATACAAATAAAATGTTACGGAACAAAAATCGTGCCGGCGAACTACCAGCTGCTGTAATTGAAGCAGCAATAAATGTAAAGAGAAATATTTGGTATATTTAATAATCCATTATTTAGTAAAATCCTTTACAATTATATAAAGCAGTTCCAATAAAATGGAATCGTTAGTGAAACTGGTTCATTAACGCATCTGTCCCTGATCCAATTAAGGAATTATTGAATATTGAACGTTAAAGTGTTTTACCGAAATCACACGCACACGCACACAAAATAGGCGTGTTATATATTATACAGCATTTGACAATTGTCGCACGAGGTTGCCGTATATAAATTAACTTCTGATCGTAAAATTAATTTATGCAACGTAAATTAGGTATTGACAAACGTGCTGCTATAATACTAATATACATTAATTAATGTAAATCGAATAGTTCATTTACTATTTTATATATAAACGTCGAATAATTGATCGTATAAATCGCATTCACGTCTTTCGATTTCGGGTATATGTGCACATGCACATGCGAACATGTGCATTATTTGTAATTAACTACGCCATACAGTATAATAAGTACATTAATTAATATTTAAAACGAATAGTATGTAAACAGGAAATAATTCAGTAAATTTATATCAGTCTGTATTTACTTTCATACTTAAATAATTGATACGGAGTACGGAAATAACCGACTCGACGTAACTTGATTATATGCAACATTTCTCATGCAAATATTAATTATTGACTTTTGATTTGCTGGAAAAAAGTAGTATCGACGAGAATGCGAGAAGAGTGAAAAATTGTGACGCTTTACTGATTTGGTGACAGGGAGAGAGACCTGGAGTGCCGTGAGCACCGCATATTTCACAAATTTCATGAAATAACGAATGAATAAAAGATCAATCCTTTTTCTCTCCCGCTATTTAATTATATACGGCGTTTATCAAAGCGCAATCACGTGCGTGGTGATCAATCAATTAATAATTACGCAGGTACCATAAATAAATTTACTTACCGGCCGTTGTGCTCGCGTTACCTCTTTCTCTTTCTTGACTACTACTGGAGTCAGCCACGGGGATTCTGTTGCTTTTCCGTTGCTGCATCTTATTGTAAGTTCCTTTCACCTATCGTAAAACAAGAAGATATTAATTCATTATATTTTTTATGTATAACGAGTAAAGCACACTTAACAATTCGTACATCTACAATTCGTGTCAGAATTCAGAATAGACGTTTGTTTTTAATTTTATGTACGGTACAAAAAAGCATTTGAGAAATCAGGATGCGCGCATATATAAAATATATGTTAAAACATTTATATTAAAATACACGACATATATAAAATCATATATAAAATTCTAAAATTATAAAACATAGATTTAATGGCAGTAGAAAATTACAAATTCCAGAATTGTAAAGTGTAAATTTAATAGAAAATTATAAACGAGTACATAAATTTAATAACACAAATAGATATATAAAATTTAAAAAATTATAAATTAAATTAAAAATAATGTAAAATATAAATTAAATTAAAATGTAATGTAAATTATAAATTAAAAAAGACAAAATTTTCCACTCTAAAATCCAATGCAGGTTATATATAGATCGCCTAAAGTGGGATCGCTTAACGAGAGAATTGAATAGATCAATGCGAAAATACGATTATAATTTACCTTCGATTAAACGAGCACAATAACGGAGTAACACGGTCGTGGAGACAAATATGGCGAACACACTGACGCGACGCGACGCGACGTACAACGCGTCGACGGCGACGATACGTTTCGAATTGCCGAATACGCGGCCGGTAGCTATCGGTTGCTCGATCAGCTCGATCACTTTATGCGCGCGACTAATAAGCGAATTAAAAAGACGTGACGAACGAATTTCACCGTTTCGGAAACGAGCAGCGTTCGCGCGTCTGCATGTAGTAAACCGCGAATCGCGGCATCGATCGTAAACTCAAACGAGCCGAACGTTATCGCCGCACCTTGCCCGAGCCCGACTCCGGCAATCCGGCGTTTGGCGTTTGGCATTCGGCGTTGGCTTCAGCCCGTACGCGAGATCACTCGGCCGACGCGGATTACGACCGCGAATACCGCGACTAACTGCGATCGCGCATAATAATCGACGCACCACGACGCCAATAATCGTCCAGCGCTTGATGATTGACGGCGATCGACCAGATACGTTCGCACAGAACTCACTTTCGGCAGCCGCAGCCGTTGCGAGTGTTGCAACGCGAGAAACAGCGCGAGCCGCGAAAAGACTGGAGAAGACGACTCGTAATGCTATGAAACTGGCGCGGAACAGCGCGAGACAAAGATGGCGCTCGGCTTCAACGGAGTGGCGTCAAGAAGGACAGATGGCGGCACGCGGTTAGACGAGCGTCTGGAATCAGTGTGGAATCCTTGTGGTTGTGAATGTTGTGAATGGAAATTTGTAAAATCTCGCAGAGTGACGAGTGACGCCTGTGACACGGAGGTTATATGAGGTAACCGGGTACCCGGCGCACCCCGCGGATCTGCACGATCGTGTGGACTTGGCGTGGAAGGTAAATACCTATAAACAGCTTATAAGAACGTTTGCATGTACACGCACTGACAGCCGGCAGGAATGTCGCACGGCAATCACGGCATATACGTGTGTAGCCACACGCATACATAATCGTCCGATTTGCGCTAAAGATGCAAAATCGGAGTATCACATACGTATACCTAGCGGCCGCGAGACATTCCTGCCGGTGTGCGTACATATGCACATATTTGCATGTTACATTTAAGGAAAAGAGCAGGAAGCGAAAGTGAGGTTGCGAAAGGTAAGAATAAGACTGAAATAAATAGATGTACAATAGGTGCTTTTCATTTACGTAAAAAAAAACTCAGCTACGTCTCACTTGTGACGTCGTTCTATCCTTTTTGGGAATTAATGAATAATAAAGACAGAATGAGACATCACAAGTGAGACGAATCTGAGTTTTGATGTAAATGGAAAGCAACTAATATATATATGCAATATCTTTGATAAAGCAAACTATCAGCGAAGCTCATTTTGATATTCTTTAATTAAAAATCGTATCCGGACGATTTGGAGAAATCAATTTAAGATTATTCGAATTGGCTGATGGTTGAAAGTTGAAAATGGCTTGTCGAGTCTGAAACATTATATATTGCGTGAACAGAAATAATCGCGTAATTATACGTTGAAATATCGTCGTCCGTATATTAATGCGAGATTAATTATTTATTAATATGTAATATTGTTTAATATAGCGTCATTTAATTGTCGCCAATCAATTTAATATTTTACTCGGCGTATATATACGGGGCGCAGCTATAATAATGCGCGCGATGTATAATTAACGCTTCGTCGATACGAAATCTGTTGTCGCTACCGGCCTCGGTTGTGGTGATTATTGCAACGCGAACATAAAATTCCGAGATGCCGAGCCGCGCTTTGCTAATAGCGAACACTGTTATTCCCAGCTATTTAATGTCCTCAAAGCATCCTAATGCATATATTATTCATTACAGGTGGAATTTTTTAATCTTCACCGGAGACAACATTAAAATTTGTTCTCGTGAGGCGCGAGTCGCGACCCTTCATTGATTTGCGCGTGTTTCTCAAAGATTTCGTATAAATCATATAACCGAAGGTACAGCGAGTGACGTAGAACCACAACCAAGAAGCTGGCGAATTTGAATTGTTAATGACTTTCCGTGAATCGTAACGACGACTTGTCGGTGGAAATCTCAGATCGCCGTCGAGTTGGTCCGCGAATGTTTAGACGAATGCAGACGGCTTGAGAATATCCCGAGGCAACGCATGGTGAACTTTACTCGGCGCCTGATACCTGGGATGATAATAGAGACTATTAATCGTCGCAAACACGAAAACCTAAATTCGGTATTGTACTATTGTGTTATTTACGTTTCGATTGTGTTTCAATTGAAAAACTGCCATTTTACACTAATTATTTTATTAATTTTCTTGCTAAATTATATAAAAAGCAGAAAAAAAATATAGGAGAAAAATGGCTGAATGCCAATTGGCCCGTATTGTCTATCAAATCATCGAATATCTATTATAATTACGTTGCATCCGCTCTTTCGAAAGAAACAAAGGCCGAAATAAATTATTAATATATTTAATATTTGTTATATTTAATCATTAATATATTAATGCTATGTCGATAATTATATATATAACGTGTCAATTTCAAACTTTCACTGTCTGCTATTATTTCTTAACATCTCGGCGTTATTATTCAAACAGTCGTATAATAACGCTAATTAACAATGTGCCATTTGGAACGCGACAAGCGAATTAATCTCGTCGATCTTGCGAATGGTCCAATATCGTAATTAAAGAGTTAACCGTCTCTGTATCTATAATTATTACTCGACATCCCCGCCGATTGAAATGCGATGATAGCATCAGCGCGGTGCTGCAGGCTACCGAACATTAAACGTATACGTTTATAAATTTGCCGTCGAGATTATACCGGTGAAAAACGCCGGTGATACGCGCGATAAACTATAAGGGAAACGTCACGGCTGCGTGATAGGTGGATTTATTGCGTTCGTGCGGATAATTACTTTTTAATATATTCTTTTCATTATATTGCTAAAAAAAAAAACATTCGCAGACTCTACGGACGAAGTATATGTTTCAATCGCAAAAAAGTGTTGTTGCTTTTCGAACACGCTCATTAATTTCTTCGGAATAAATCTCATAAATCTCTTTCATCCATGTAAACCTAGCTGCTTTACAGGGAAAGCGCGTCGAATTTTTTTTCTTCGTCGTTTCAGGGATTTTCACAAAGGCTGTATACACACATATTCCGGGGAATGACTCTCTGTCGAGTTATATGCTTCATTTGCAAGTTGCCCTTTTTTTCATTTATCGACATTTTTTAATATTCATATGTGTAAATTTCTCGCCTCGACTCCTACCTATGGGGCTTGATTATACACCCCATGAATACTTTTCGATCGACCGTTGGTAACATCGCAATAATGGACATGCATCAACTCAGATTTAACCGTACGAAATACGAATTGAATACACATTATACGTTATACATTATGCAATAATACAAATTCAACGCGCGTACAATGAATATTATATTAATTACAATAATTGTGAAATATTACTTAATAGACACATTGTGTGAAATAAATGTTGCGAAAGAAAGAACGTACGCATCTTCAAGATAACAGCTTTACATGAAATAGAAAGATTTATTTCTTACGTGTTGTTGAATAAATTTTATGTAAATCGTCCAAAGCGACTTAAAAATATTATTTTTAGCAATAAGACAGTAGAAAAGCATTGCAATTAATTATAGAATTGTTATATGTGTACAGATGACGTGTAACAAACCTGATGCGAATAGATTGCACTTCCGGCGTAGAGATGAAGACACGAAATATATGATGAGATTTGGAGCGATTCCGAACACACAGAAGCGGATTGTCGAAATGAAAATCTGAATTCTAAGATATTGAACTTGGGCCGTTACATTCACATGTTTCACGAAGCCTGCATTATTACAATGTTATCGACGATCGGCCATATCAAAGGTAAAATATCTAAAATATAATTTATTTATGTTGTTGCTTATAATACGATAAATACATCTAAAATACTATAATATTTATAATTACTTATTACTATTTGATCATTAGTGGAAGTTACTCATTATAAATTATAATCTACATGACTAATCACTCACTCATAGACTTTAATTATTTAACAATTGTCAGTTATAAATATAGTTAAAAAATTTAATACTGCTAACAATTACTTCAGTAAACCCTCTGTATTCATTGATAATAATTTGTTTAAAATGTCTGTATTAATCTCTGGCACAGTAATTTTATCTCTATAAAAACAAAAATTCAATTGGAGCTTAATGCGAGAAAATGGATAAAATAAATGAAACAAAATCTTGATTAAAAATAGAAAGTTATTTTTTTTTAAGTATCTTATACATTCATGTATCATAATATGGCATACGTTGCATTGTAAGGATTATTTGAATGCACATTCTCTATCGGCCAATTAAATTATATAAGCTCAGAACTACATCGACTACACACATTGTGACTTTTAATTATAATATACCGAAGTCAGCGCGAAGCAGTTCATTTCGTAATCTTCGCTGGTACCTCGAAGCATATAACTCTGTCATTTCCTTGTCGCAGTGCGTAACGTACGGTTAGTGAAACCTGTAAACAAAAGTTATGATAAACATTTATTGCAAGAGGTTGAAATCAACTAGTTACGAAAGAAGCAAATTGCACATAACTACAAGAAAAAGCCTTGGCTTCTTGCTTGCCAACTGGTTTTTATAATATTATATTTAATTTGTTAATTTTATATATATATATATATATATATATATATATTAATATATATATATTTTAACTATAAACACGCGATTATATAAGTCTTCTCTTAAACTCTCAAAAACTTCGAAAAATTACCCTGGGATATATCGACAGCACAGGGAAACTGTTTCTGTATATATATTGTACGCCTTTCTTCAAGGGACAACCAGCTTTGCTACCATCGGCGTTGAAAATATTATCGCAGGCATTTGTTCCGTCGACTCCCACGAAGGGCAAGGGTACATTAAAAAGAATCGCGTGCACATCATTAGTCAAGGTCTGAATATCTTCGTTAGGCGAGAGTTTGATCTCTATGACGGCATCCGTTCCCTGTTTCAACAAACATTCAGGTTTATCGCAGCCGGATACGCTGATCTGCGTGGCATCCTCGAACGGGGTTTCTGAAATCAGAAATTATAAATCGTAAACGAATCGTGAGTGTAATTTATGCCCGCTGTATTTTTACATAGCTCGGTTTCGATTACGTAAGGTCGAAAATACATTAATCAGACCGTATGATTACTTTATTCACAAAAGGCAATATAATTTGATACTAAAGTAGTATTCCACGCGCTTTTTGTCCAAAGAATACGCATATACATATATTATACACTTGAGTAAAAAAAAGCAGAGGCTAAATAATAACAAAAATTTCACAACTTGAATGTTGATCGCCTTGAGATATTTCATCTTCTTCAGCGAGACTCAATGTCGTTGCGGTGTCCGAGAATGTGAAGTAAGAGAAAGTAATGGCTTGGATATGAGTCGTACAATTATCGTGCTAATAGATTTAATTAACAATTAACGATTAATTCTAGAAATTTTTTTAAAAATTTATCGGAAATTTATCATATTGGTAGCAATTTTTATTAGAGCACTGTATTAATAATATAATCTCATAAAAAGTAGAGAATTAAATTAACCAGTTAATCGACATTAATAATAATAAATAGTTCTCCTCAAGTCTTTGATTTGAAAAGTGTAAGAAGGATAATGTAAGTTTATCCACGTTGAAAGGTAATGATATGTTTGCTTTTCATGATTATGCTTGTATCCATAACCGAAGGTCATTGCTAAAACGACTATACAGCAGGTCAGCAAGATATCTTAGATAATAAAAAAAATGTAAATTGAATACTCACGCACATAATGTACCTGCGTCATTAAAATTTTTTTATGCAGTCTTTATAAATACGATCTATTTGTGGATGTGAATTTTTTATCACGTAACAATTTAAATAAAAGGACATAATAAACTGTTTTTTGTTGAACGGAAAGAAATATTTCAGTTAAAAACATTATTCGATAAAATATATATTTTACTAAACGTACGTGCGTTATGAAAGTGTATCAAAGCAAAGTATACGATATGCATATATATGTCACATTTATTGTCAGTTCCGTAATATCTTTTAACTCTAACATGAGAAACTACAGTTACAATTCTAACGGTATTCACAAATCAGTCCATTAATATGTTCTTTCCTGCTAGTTTCCGTCGCTTCGTTTCGAACACATCAACAAAGAGACTTTACTCGAAAACTTATACGATCTCAAATATTTATGTGGTCTAACCGACGGGAAGCTTCTAATTTGACATTGAAATTCTAACGCGGTAAAGCATGTCGGTCGTAAATTAACGTTCAAGTTAGTATGATGCTCATCACTTTCACTGCGTGTCAATTATGTTTCTCGTAACGTAAGTAATTATATTGGTATTAATAACAATATACTACAGCTCGTTCAAAACTTTGTTGATTTAAATCTCCAATAATTAGCAATCATTAAGCGTATCGTGCAATAATAACATTTATAACATTACGAGAACACACTAACAAAAGTATAGCCTCTGCTATGAGCATGAGAAACAATCTTTGATATAATCACGCGATTGAATAAATCACGCGATACTTATTTTGCGTCATAATTTTTTTATTTATCGATAACTTTATTGCGTGATCTTTAAAGAAAAAATTATATTTGAACAATTTGTCATAAGATTACGGATGATATATTCATGCCGAAAGATACTCGATGTCGATGCTCGAAAAAATTTAACAAGAGGAAATTAATACATCCGACAGTAGCATACAGTATGTCGGAGAAAGAATTTCAGATATCGAAAATCGTGATGTCGCGACAGTTCCTCATTTATATTTATAGAATGTTCTAAAATATTTGATCAAATTTTGCCAGTATATTCCATATTCTATATATACATATATTCTAGGTAAAAACATTATGCAAGCGTATGTAAAATTTATTCTTTCATCACATATTACATGTTAATTGAAAGTTAAACGTTGGAAAAAGATTTCAACATTTAAATAGTTTGGTATTATGTAGATTGATATAAGTAGCGAAATGATATTGAGCAAATTAGTGATTAATTATATAATATAAATAAATAATTAGTACCAAATAAGAACAAGATATACAATTTAGCTTCGAATACAAGTATGTGTGGTCTGTCTGGCAAGATATACTATTTGTAGATTTTGATTTGCTTTAACAACGGACTTTGTGAGCAGATCTTTTTATTTTTCTTTCTACTTCTATCTCTATGTTCGTTGATTTTGATAAACAGTTTTCATGAATGACTAATTGCTCCTAGAGATAAAACTCATCGAATTCTTGATAAAATTTATATTCCTGTTTAAGAGTTAAAAGACTATTTGTTCTTCTTGGAAAGATAATATTCACATAATTATATACTTATGACATTTTTTAAGGATACAATTAGAAAAATATATCGATCAACTTTGGTCAGATATTTTAGAAACGCTCTATATAATGCAATTTTAACGTAATGCAACGCCGAGAAAGTTTCACGAAGGTGTTCAACGATATCGACAGATCCTGTCGAGGAAAGAGAAACTGTTTTAATTTTAAAATAAGCATCTTGAGATCTGTGACTTTTCCAATGACATCAAAAAGATAATCACGGCTCTCAGTACATTTAAAAGTAAATTATTTCCACAAACTTTTTATAACATTTTACTTGTAGAAAATTTTCTTTTGCGCGTGTTTGAAATGACAATTTTGTTGATTATTTAATAACAATTTAGCAAATTTTCGTCTATCAATCCGTCTATATATATTTACGTAAGTAACGTTACGTGAATAAATAAATCAACTTAAAAAAATTGAAGGAAGAAAAATGAATTATTTCGTTAATTTTGTTTATTCATCATTGTCGGAATAGTCTGCATTTCAAACACGATTTATTAGAAACTGCATCTGTCTTTCAGTAGATTAATATATTCTTCTCAATATTTATATATTTCTGCTTGGTTTGTATATTTTACGTACCAGAATCGCAGTAATTAACTTGCGTAGCACTGGTGAGCACGACGAGCGCCGCGAAAACGAGAACAGTTTTCCTCAGCATCTCGGTGAAAGTGTTTCTGTTTTTCCGTTCAAGAAACCTCGTCAGAGTGCTGTGGGTCCGATCAGACCCAACTCCGGTTCTCGACTGACGACAGTGACGACTGTAGCTCGAAGCTCGAACGCGGTCACAGGTGCGTAACGGCGCGCCGTTCGTCAAACTCCTACTTAAGTGTACCTCACCAAGGAAGGGGATAATATAAACAAAGTATCGAAGTCCGCATGAAATAACTCATATGTTGATTTCAGAAATACTCGAACGTTCTGTAAATCGCTCTAAGTCGCAGAAAATAATTTGCATCTGAAAAAAAATCTACACGTGGTATAAGTGAAACACATAGAAGTAGGAGTGGAACGTAATTAAGATTAGATAATTCCACAATAAAATTCTTAGTAAGGAACTTAATAAGAAAAATTAAAAAAAATTGATGTGTTTTTGAAATTTTGTCAGCAAAGATAACACGTGTATTAATATAAAAATCTTAAAATATTGTTAATATTTACATATTTATTATTATTATTAGATATTATTAAATATTAAACGTATGTTAATTTTGTTTATGTTTTTCTATTTGGTTATTTTTTACATTATTACTTATGTGTTTTCTTATTTAATTTTATTTTAACATATAATGTATGTGTGTGTATATATGTATAATACATTTATCACATTTAAACTAACCGACTAAAGTAACAAAAAAATTCAAAGTAAGATTATTGATATACGACATCTGTTTAAAAAGTTTCCGTACTTTGTCTTTATAATTTTTGGGAGTTTCCTTACAACTTACATATTCAGTCTTGTCTCTTTCGAAATATGTTCCTTCTCGGTTGATACCATTCCCAATGCCGTTTCCACTTCTGGAAGCAGTCCTGGTAAACGTTTCTCGAAATTACGCGTAAATCTGTCTGCAAATTTTCCTTAATGTCTTTAATTGTGTATCGAATGTTCGATTTTTCAATGTGGATTTTAGTTTTGAAAAAAGAAAAAAGTCCTCGAGGGCCAGGTCATGAGAGTAGAAAGGCTGAGGAAGCATTATTATCTTTGTTTTGGTGCAGAAGTTATCCAAAAAACGCGTAGCAAATTTTTAATGTTGTTAAAATTAAATTACACCCTAAAAGTAACGACATGGCTGTATTTGCTAAAAGAACTTTTTATTATTCTATGTTTTTTAAAGAACTAAAATGATAGTTTCGCGCACTGTTATATATTATAGGCCGGTATTTATAATTGGTTCTTATATTTAAGACCGTCTTAAGCACAATCTTAAGACGTCATGAACCAATCACAGAGCCGTATTAGCATCTTAAGATATTACTTAAAACAGTCTTAAAATAAGAACCGATTATGAATACCGGCCTTAGTATTAATATTTATACTCCGTCCAACGAGAGATCATGGTTCAGCAAACATAAATAACGATAGATATTGTCCAACACTATTAAAAATAAAAATAATTTAACGCGAACACCTTGTTGCGGCTCTGTGGCCTATCGTTATTTATGTTTGATCAACCATGATCTCTCGTTGGACGGAGTATAGATATTATGATTAATACTCTAGGATTAATCGTCGCGATTAAATTTTTGTGATTAAATACTTGTGATAAATAACTCGACAATCATAGGTACGCGTGAAAGTTCCATGTTTTAGTCATAACTCGCAGCGGTCATTCCATAATGTTTGATTCCTCCTTTTTTCTGACTTCGTTTCGTTTACCTCAGCACAACGAAACGGAAATGAAACGGACCACCATGGTCACAAGAACAAAGCACCGGAAATTAAGAATCTCTGCCCACCATCTCGTTTCTTTCCTTCTCAGTTTCTCTTTTCTCATCTCTCTCTCTCTCTCTCTCTCTCTCTCTCTCTCTCTCTCTCTCTCTCTCTCTCTCTCTCTCTCTCTCTCTCTCTCTCCCTCTCCCTCTCTCTCTCTCCCTTTCTCTATGGCTGGATGAGTCTCCTTATTTTCAATGGTAAACGGGGATCTCGATTAACTCCCGTAAACCATATACTCTTGAAATTATTGCCACGTCGGCATCATATCGAACAATGTATCTCGTCGAAACTCGGCATAGTCGAAGCCGTAGAGCCCGACGCGCGACGTAAAATCACGTTCTCGCATACGCTTCATCTACATTTAATAATCGGACAATAACGCTATTTCTTTTTCTTTTTTTTTTATCTCTTTTTCTCTGTGAGTATGATACAGGCGATATAATGAAAATAATTGTAATCATAATCGGGATTTCCAGACGCAATCAAGAATTTGTTGCGTTGCTCGATTTATGCCCGTAACATTACCATGTCAAAGTATACATTGACTTTATAATGTCTTCATTCTTGGAAAATTGCCTCTGCACGAGAAACAATAACATCGAATATGCAAATCCAAACCCCCGGATGCGGTTTGGTGACTAATGAAAAGCTTTCAAAACAGTAAAAAGGCTCTCTTATACGTCAGACAGTCTAATAAAACACCGCCGTGATCTGCAATATTATTTTGTATAATACATACATATGTTTCGCGAGATGGGAGTAACATTGGTTGATGCGCTACCGTGAATTATCTTGTCAAGCCGACAGGATGATCAGAGTGAGTCAGAACGGTTATGAAACTTTTCTGAAATTGTTCCTGCGTGACGATAAACGCTTTTGTCTCTTCTACAGTTGATCAAAGGTTATTAAATGTGCAGTCCACTTTCTACTAATCTTCAACTGTGTAATTTGCTTAATTATTTCGAAAGGAAAAGATATCTGAAGGATAAACGGTTGAAAAAGACAGGATTTTCAAAGGATAAATTTTATAAGACATTTTAAAAGGACAATTGTAACGATCTGCTGAATGCATGGAAATAATGACGACAGTCCCGTTGCAAATAAAAAATCTCGGTTTGTTTAAAATTTATCCCGATGATATGAATGCGGAAGAAATATATTCCAGTATTAATACGGATGTTATCAACGAAGGTCATGTGCTAACGGAAGAAATTACGTATTCTGTATTCAAGACGTACAACGAGTGCATTGATTAAGGTAGAAACCCAAAAGGAATACTAATTACTGTAGCGGCAGCAACCTTGAAGAAAGAGCTCCTAAAGATTCTTTCGATCTGAATTGCGGATTGCCACAATTTTTTTTTCAAATTTACCAAATATTTTATTTAGAAATATTATAAATATTATGTCATAATTTCTTGTTTTTTATCGCTAAAAGAAATCAATTAGAATTAATATAATTATATAATTAAATTAAATTTTCTGAATGCAAACTCATCGAGACAATAATTAGATTTTTATCCGAAAATGTCAAAATTAGATTGTTGATTCCGACAAACGAGAGTATATCGCATGATTGTAATTTTATTAATATCTATTAAATTGTCTGGCTGTTGACTTTTAGAAAAGTTCATAAATACATTGTCAGGAATATATATATATAATTCTGCTGAGTGTTAGTTAGTTATCTTTATGATCTCCCCGAAGGGTACAATGTGACTTCCGTTTCTATACATTAAATATCATGTATGCACATACACAAATAACACATTATATATATATAAATATCTATTTTACATTATAAATTTACCAACCAATGTCATATTCATGTCACATTTTATTTTATCTCATTCTATTATTGCCCATCTTCTTATTTTGCTTTTTCACTCTACTTTCTCTTTCTCTATCTCTCTCTCTCTCTCTCTCCCGCGCTACCTCCTTCCACCTTCTCATCTAGTCTTCTCCTTGTCCCTCCTCTCCTAATATCTCTATCACTTTTTTATGTCGTCCTCTGTCCACTCGCTACATTCCTTCAATGCATGCGTTCACGTCTCGACCCTCCAACCAAATAGCTTGCATTTCTTTTTTTCCCAATCTTTGACTTTATTTTCCAACCTGAACCTTACTATTCTTTCCTGCCATCTTTCCTTCTCCTACCATTCTTTTACCAGCATATCTCTTTGTGTACCATTTATTGTACTTCGATTCCCTTATCTTCCGCTCTCTTTCTTTTATTTGTATTTCCCTTTCTTTTTTGCTATCTCCGTTCATTGCTTCTTAATGCATTCCTGTACTTCTCCCCCTGTCACCTCCACCTCTTTCTCTCTCTATCTCATTATTTTAATTCTATTTTCTTCTCACTTAGACAAGTTCTTTGCTCTCTTAATTTTCTCTTTTATTTCCTCCTATGCTCTCGCTAGTCCATTTCCCTTACCTTATTCTAATTTCTCCTCGTATCTCCAGGCTCTTTTCAAATCTCGTAGTCTTAAATCTCGTCCCTTGAATTCTTCTAATCAGCTCCTACTAACCATTTTAAAAATCTTTCTTGCATACCTTTCATTTTTTCCTAATTGTTCCAATCTCATATCTCTATACCATATCTCATTATCATCCAAATTAGAGTGTCGAACATCCATATCTTTCTCTTCCAATCTTTTTTTCCAGATTCCTTATACTTTTCATATCGTCATGTCCGTCTTTCTTAATTCTTTTCTGCATTTCTGGCTACAACCATTCCTTTATAACCAGACTTTTAGATATTTAAACATTTTAACTTATCTATCATTTTTCCTCCGCATTTCCAATTCTACTTTCTCTTTTTTTCTCCTTTTTTGAACCTTATAACTTTCGATTTTTCTGTATATTTAATTCTAAATCTTTTTCTTTTAAAAATATTTCTTAAATTCTATTATCATTCCATTATATCATTAATCTCATTTCATTTTCTTCTTTCGCTATCAAAACTATGTCGTCCGTATACGCTAAGGAATATATATATTTTTTCCTTAATCTAACTTCTTTTTCCATTTTTTTCTCTGTAATCAAAATATTGAACAACATTAGGCTCATTGAATATTGCTCCCTCAATCCTTTTGCAATCCAGAAGTCTTCTCCTTCCTTCTCTCCTATCTTCATTCTGCTTACATCTCTGTTATCTTTTCTATAATTTCTTCCTTTATTTCTCTTTCCCTCATCGTTTCCCATAACACTCTTCTGTTCATCGAATCGAAAACAGGTGTTAAATTGATGAAAACATAATTCTATTGAGTAATTATAAAACTGTAACTAAATTAAATTACTGATTTACTAATTCAAAAATTAGTACCGAATGTGAGTCTGGCTCATTAAAAAATCAGTTCCAATTGTAAGATAATTATGATGTCCATGCAAATTTCAAGATTAACACATATACATGTGTAATAGAGCATGATTATAAAAACGCAAATTGTTACAAAATGTAGCCTCATTAAATATGAATAACTTGTTTATGAAATCATTAACAACTTGCCGCGCGATGATTCTTACTTCGGGGAATAATTCTGACAAATAGCACTAAGATGAATTTAAAGTTTTGTAAATCATATTAAATTACGTAAAATAAATTTACATTAATAAATAACAACGCAGTTAAAAATAAAAAATAAAATTTTTCGCGTTTTTCTTGCGTCTCTCTCTCTCTCTCTCTCTCAATAGTGTTTTAATAATCTCCAGTTTTATAACATGGGCTTAATCTGAGAAGAAAAAGTCATTATTTGCCTAGATATGCACCGTAATTATAGTTTTCTATTTTATTAAAACATTTTATTATAATATTATTTCATACGGAGTTCTATATCATATATCGGAGTTCTATATCATATTCTATATGAACAGCACAATTATCGTTCCGCCTACATTATCAAGTATAGAATCCTATGTTATCAGTTACAGGTACATTATCTTTCGTTTAAACAATAAAAAGAAACATAATTTATAACATCCAAAGATTAATTTCATTAGTACTAAACATAAAAACATAGACATTTTCATTTTCGTATATTTAAATCATGTATAAAGTATTATGGATTATATACAGAGATGCGATGATCAATAAATCATGATAAAATAAATATTATTAATACAGGCAATTATACAGTTTTTAAGTATTTACAGCTGAGTAAATAATAGGATATTATATTGATTTGGTCATCACAGTATATTTACATTTTGAGTCGACACGATATATATCATGCAAACGATTTAATTTTGAAATATATAAATTATCTTGTTAAATTATAATATTAAAAATAAAAATTTAGTATTTTCACAAAAATTATCTAATCATATATCATTCATATGCAGACGACTTTGTAACTTTAAGAATCACTTTGCACTGCTGCATTTTTTAAAATAGGATGTGATAAGCACATTTTATGCCGCGTAGAGAGCAATAATTAGTAACTATGTGCCGTGATGATCACAATCGTTATTACAATTTAAAGAAAAAACCTACGATAGCGCAAAGAGGAATTAATATTACATCCTTATGTTACAAGGTCATCCATGTGGGATTCTATACTTTTATTCTTATAGATTTTTACAGTCCCGCCGTTGTTCCTTGTCGGCGATAGTCTGAGTTCGCTGTTATAAGTCCGTTTTCCTTGGATATAGCCGTAATCGCGCTTCCAATTCCACTGAAAGTAGCGACGTTGTGCCCGATTTTATTCAAGTAATCTAACGTGACTTGACAAAAATTTTTCTCGTTCTGGATATTCATCGGCAGCAGCTGCAATTTTTTAATAGCTTCCTTAACAAGGCTGTTAATAATTACAGGCAGTTATAAATAGACAGTATTTTTCCATTTAAAGGTTTATATATTTGATAATATTCAATAAATAAAGTAATTATCTTATTAACATTCTTTGCGTGCGTGATGAGAACTAAGGAATATATAATTTCTACTATTTCCTTTTTTTCCTTAAGAAAAACATATTGAAGCATAAACAGTTTTTGGGTTATGATTAATTATATAAGAAAAGATTTCAGCAAATGCAGATTAAGAAATTATTCAAATTCTCAATTTTGTCGAATTTTATTAAATAATAATTTTAAGAATATATTTCAATAACAACTTCTCTAAAACTATTATCTATGAATATAATCTTTTCAATTTTTTCATTTTAAATATTTTAAATGTAATATTTTTAACACTTTGTTTATCTTTTATTAAATAATATTTCTTAAAATAACTTTTAATAACAATTTCTTAAACTGCCATTTACGACATTTAAAAGTCGGTTTGACTGTAATGGCACAATGCGAACTTGGTGCCCGATTAGAATTAATTTCTTAAGTTGAAATGCTTATATCGCTTGAACTCACTTGATGATGAAGTCTGCGTGCATCAATCGCTTCCTTTATATCGTAACCGAACCAAAGATTCAAGACCATCCCAACCGCCACGCCGCTCGTGATCTTCGAACCACCGGCTGCACCAATCACTAATCTCACATCGTTCTTGTGATCAACCTTATAAAAGAGGTCGCACCATTGAATCAAATGAACTTAAATTAACGGTCTAGGACTCGCCACGAACATCTCACTCATTCTCTTCAAGATTATTTTGAAAAAAAGTCTTTAAATTTTAGATTTCCACACGGGTTTAGCCATTCGAATTGCACGAGAAACATTGACGAGATGATTTTATGTGGCGGCAGCGAGAAAATCGCTTCGTACGATCGCGTGACGATTGCGAATTGCAATTACATCATTGAGTTGAACGATTCCCGGAATCGATGGTTATCATGACGATGGCGATGGTTAATTGCAAACTCATTGTAGTCATTTTATTAAACGCGTTTCGCAACGTTCACGAGACGCCCGACTGTTTTGTTCACCGAACACGCGACTGTTTTGTTACACATTATTCCCCGAGTTTCGAGTTTCCAGCGAATTTATCGATGGTCACATTCGCGGTGAAATGGCTTACCACTATTGTCGGGTTCATCGAACTCAATGGCCGTTTGCCGGGCCGAATAAAGTTCGCCGGTGACGGCGGCAGCCCGAAGCCGTTGGTGATGTTGGGTGAGCTGAAGTCGTCCATCTCGTCGTTAAATATTATACCAGTGGACTCAGAGCGTATCATCGCGCCCAACCTGTTAAATAAAGATGTCTACAAAGAGCACGAAAAATCCTGCGCATTATACACCGCAGGATTTTATCGTAGACCGCATTCGCTGAATCGTTCCATTTTTAAGGATAGATAGATAGATATAAACCGCGCTTTCAAGAATGATCATATCAAACATATATATATACATATATATATTTCGAAAGTGAAGTGATTCAATTGAATTTCTCCTTCTCGTTTTTTAACGGGTCGATACACAAGGAGAGTATTATAGGAAAAAAGTTATACAATAAAGTTTCTGTTCGCCTGAAACGCGTGCCGATATTATCAAATAAAAATTCTGATATTTTTATTTAAAAATGTTATTTATTTAAAAATATACGTTTGATACTTTATAAATCGATCATTATAATTATTTGAATATTTATAATGTACAATTTAAATTAACTAAATCCCATGAAAGTGAAGAAATTTTGCCTGAGCGCAGTTGATTTTATACAAATTGTTTCGCAATTTAAGTATTCGATTAGAGTAATTGATTAGAGTATTTTGTCACCTACGATTTTACTTACACCTGATTGATGGTCGATGTGGCGGAAACGGCGGAACCGTCGGGAGCGAGGACGGAAACGTGCGAGGTCCCCGCATCCTCAATTGTTGCGGTGACGGCGCCGTATACCGCTGGATCTTGGCTCGTGCTATCATCCTTAATCCTCTCCTTTATCATTTCCGCGTAATCATTGGACGTTAAATTGGTGAGCAGCGTGTCTACAAAGAAATAATTCCGTTAATCAATTTCATTAAACGCTTCGTGATTGGCAGAAGTAAATTCAAAGAATGTATTAGAGAAAATCGCGCTGGAACACAGATACCGAACTTCAAACAAGTTTCGCCAGATGCGTTTATCTTTACGTGATGATGATATACAGATTGACAATTATTAGGAAACATATGACGCAATGATTTCCAGAAAAAAACGTGCTGTATCGCGATATTAAGTAAAAATAATACATGCAGTTTAAAATAACGCAAACTTATAAAAAACTCCGTTTCCTTCTTTCTTGCATGATTAATTTATTCTTGTGATTTATATTGATGTCAGTAGGGAAAAATTATCTTTATTTATGAACGGTATCCTTAACGCATTAATAATCAGAATATTTTAATTTTGAATGAGTGCATAACATTTTCTGTTAATGTTATATGCATGGTTACCATTTTCCTAACGATCTCGTAAAGCGATTACTAAACAAATCGTTTTTCATTCATGTTTAGCAACTTTTTTCATTGTTCGCACCCGACTACTTCTTTTTATAATTTTAATGACTTTATTTATAGTATTATAATATATACATATGTATATGTATAATTTAAAAAATATATTATCGAAGAATCGCGTTAAGAAATGTTATACATTGCGCGTTTACGGTCTCACCTATGCCCTCAACAAAATCAGGGTCCCCCAGCTCTGTTCTTCTTGCGTAAGCCCACTTGAAGGTTTCCACTATACGTTGCCACATTTCATACTCATTGCGGACCGGTAGCAAACGACGAAAGACATTCATTATGAATATCAGAATTGCGCCCGAGCCCGGCGGCGGGGCACTGTAAATTGTCAGGTTTCCCATTTTCAATGCGATCGGCTTTTTCCATATGGCCCTGCAAAGTAGACTTGCATCATCAATATGCTACTGTGACTTTCGCACCTGTCTTCTCCAAGTTTTCGATCCTATCATTATTTATCGTCATCAAGTTCACAATCATGAATAACTTGTAAGAACGGGGAAAGTAATTAACGTAAGAGCAGCTTATAATATTTACTTTTATATAAGATTTTTGTTGTGATAGTCACAAAATCAACGATATCTAATCTGATCTTATAATTTTATCAATCAACTGGCTGTCGATAATGACATTTAATATGATTTCAATCGGTAATCTGATTCATATTTAATTTAATACTTTAATACTAATTGTAAGATGCAACGACAGAGATAAAAACTGTTATTTTTGGTCATGATATCCTGAATCGATTTTTAAATTGATTTGTAAATCGACTGGCTGTGTGTTATAGATAATGACATTTAATATATAATTTTAATCAATAATCTGATTTATATTCAATTTAATGCTTTAATACTAATTGTAAGATGCAACGACAGAGATAAAAACTGTTATTTTTGGTCATAATATCCTGGATCGATTTTTAAATCGACTGGCTGTAAATAATGACATTTCATATGATTTCAATCATATCAGCAATCTGATTCATATTTAATTTAATGCTTTAATACTAATTGTAAGATACAACGACCGAGATAAATTATTTTCAGTCGTGATATCCTGGATTAATTCTTTTAATATAATTTAAAAATTTTTTAATATTTTCGTTACAATAGATCGTCAATATTGTTTTTATCTACATAATGACATTCCATTTTTATGATCTTTCGTAAAATTTTAACTGCGTAAAAGAGATAAATTTCTAAGAAATAAGTTTATTTTCCTTCGGTCTCTAGTTTAATCTATATTTAAATAACATGCTTTATTTTACGAGCATCCATAAAATATTTAAAAACCCAGAAATAAAAAAAACGTACTACACACCTGTATTCTTGAAAATCTCGTCTCGTGATTATTCCTTTAAACTTTGTTATCTCCTCGACCAATTTGTCTGTAATATTGCCATTATAAAATACGTCGGGGCCCTTTTCCGCTATCAGCTTCAACGTCCTCGCCAGTTTGGGTCTTTTTATTCGGTCTCCCGCCTGTAAGTGTTCCTCTACTTATTTCATAGTTCATTCCACGAGACGTTCGCCAGACAATGCGAGAGTTTTCAGAGTTTTAAAAATGATAAGAGGATCTGGAAGCGAAAAGCGAGGTATTACTCACGATCCACGGTTTACCGGTGTCGGGATTTATGAGTATTTCAGCCAAACTGCTCTCGTTCTTTATCATAGGCTCCTTGTTGGCCAGATACGCGGCGAGATAATCATTGACGCGCGATCCAGTTTCGCACAATTTAATGGTGGGCTCGAATAACTCAGACCATGGCAATTTCCCGTATTTTTTATACGCTTCCCAATAGCCCATAAGCTCACCGGGAACAGCGACTGCCAGACCACCTATTCGACAACACATAAATTATGTAGTCTATTGATTACATTGGCTCGGCAGACCATTGTTATTACGCGCGAGCAAAGGTAGTGATACACATTTTATAATTAATCGTTACGTTACATCCACTAGTAACTATGACATCTTTTAAGCGATTCTGATGACGTAAGTGTGCACATATCAGTAAGCTTTACTGCGAAAAAATCCTACCATACATAGCTAACTTAGCATTGCCATCGAACATGTCCTCTGTCGCAGCCATCGGGGCGGTCTCCCTCGCGTCCAGATAATCCGCCGTTTTGCTCTTTGCGTCCCATATCGTCATAAGAAATCCACCGCCCAGTCCCATGCTTTAAATCGAATGTAGAAATATTTCGTTTGCTGTATATTTTGTTCGCAAATTTACAGGCAATTAATCGACTCTCGAATCTCTTGTCGAGTCGCGAAACGTTCTCCATAGGAAAAAAAAGAAGATGAAAAATAGAAAATTGCAATACCTGTGCAAGGATGCGACGCCTTCGCAAAGAAGTGCCGCTATCGCCGCATCCACTGCCGAACCATTTCTAGATAAGATATCGGCACCAATTTTTGAACATTCTTGACCGTTTGTCGACACGGCACCCTGTTCATGAATATTTTAACCGTGAGAAAGACCTTTGAAACATACTATATGACGTATTACATCTACTGTATCTCACGCTAGATTTCTTTCTTTTACATATATATGAAACAAAGCGAATATTTGTGAGAAAATAACAAATGAAATAAAGCAGTTATTGAAATAACAATTCCAGTGAAAATATTGTATATTTTCGAAGCAAATACATACGCGCATAGCATTACTTCTATTATTTACTGTTATTTAATATTAAATTTAATCCTGTATTAATTAATTTTCTGTTATTGTTAGGACGAGAGATATTACGAATTTGGAAATAATCATATCTTTTTTCTGGAACGCTATATTTTAATTAAATGAACAATTCGAGAATACACTTTTGTTTTATATATGTATAAGTCAAATGTCGATATCTCTATTATTACGTTGTAATAATGTAATTAAATCAGTCTTTGTTTTTTATACTCTTTGATTAATAAATATTACCTTCGCATACCGACCCAGTTTAGAAGAACTGATGTACTTTACACCACATGTAACGTCTGAATTGAGCGTGAAGACTACAATTAATGCCACGAAAACGGTCACAAGTACGACCGCCGTCACGCTGAATATAACTAGCTTTTTTCGCACTCTGCGCAAAACATTCAAAAATAAATATTAAAAATCAGATTTTGACGATTTGTTCTTTGGCGATATAATTGACCCGTGTTTAGTTCATGAAAATTCGTAATTAAAAATATCAAATGAAAGCTGCAATGATGGCTGCAAGACCATAATACAATCTCTAACTTTAAACATTGCTAAACTAACTTAATCTGCATAACATTCCATATATGTATGATTTTTATTCGAAATTCGCGTTTAATTGTAAAGAAATTTGTATTTTCTACCGCATTGATTTTATGATATGCGTAAATTAAAATCCGGTTATGCAACGCAAAATTAATCGAAAAGTTGAATAAATCGAGTTATTACAATATGCATGTATGTGCATATATTCATTTTTTTAATAGGAAGTCGATGATTACGATGTACGTCAAATTACTACGTGATTGATGAAAGAAGCCGCACAATAGTGATCATAACATAAAAGTCAGTAACGCTTAGAGCTTCTGCCGGTTAAAATCTCATGGTCGCTCTATGCTCCAATGGTTTACCATGACCGCATTTGCACCTGTTGTAAAGGCCTATTAGTGGCAGCAAAATACAATTATATACAGCATGATTACATTATGCAGCGTGAAATAATTTTACGTCATCTAAAACAGTTATATGATTTATTTTGCAACGTGCATCAATAATATCATGGCATGTAACAATATACGATTTATAAATAAATATTGAAGAGATCTGTCTATATATAAGTAAATAAAATTGAAATTAAAACTGAAATGCACGTTTGGATAAATTAAGGTATTGTGCTACAAAGTCAGTAATTTGCACAGTTAGACAAGACGTAATAACCGTTTATGAAGATAAAGTTTCAAAAATTTTTTTATAAGCACTCCCGTAATCAACAACGCATTTATGATAAGATTAGTGATCTAAAATGTTTATATAATTAAACGTAGATATGTATCACTCGCGAGAAATATCAACGCGCCGCGGCGTGTATCAATTGTCACCTTTATTGCCGGCGTTGATTCAAGAACATGGTCAGTTATCACAGTCGTGCAATCACAGATTTGCACATGTAGAAGACATTTACTATACAATTCGCTGAGATTACGCAATAATGTGTATACATCATTCAATATATTCACGCACCATATGGACTTAGCGTTGAACCATTGCAAACTACTCCTTGTCATTCTTGTCAATTTCAAGATAAGGATACGACTTAAAATACGGCTGTAAAATTATAAGAGACCTACTTTTGCAACAGGTTAATTAATCATACTTAATTAAACATGTTTAAAGATCAGTAAATATTTAATTATCGCGCACTTTATCGGTCTACCAATTTCTTTATGAACGTACAATAAAGATATAACTTGAAGACATTAATGTAGTAGATACGACTTGTGTAGATAAAGCGATAAAACAATTTTTTTTTTTACTTTATTAATCAGGGGATCAGACATAAAGGAAGTGAATGACTTAAAATTAAATAAATGTCTTCTTTAGTCAATGTTATCGAATAACACAGGCCTGCACAGGTGGCACAGTTTTTTTTAAACACGATTTACAGAATTTCAAATTACACGATAACGTCAAAAAAGAAGCAGATTTATCGCAATGCGTTAATAAGTTTTTGCCAAGGTTTTTACACTTGAAAAGCATACTACGTTTTTTCACAACTCAAACATTCTTATTACGTCTTCGTAACTTCAAATTAAATAATGCTTGCTTAATTACAGGTGCGTTTAATTGATTACAGGTGTATTTAGTTAATTACGAGTGTAAGACTTTAAATTGCATAACATAATGTAATTTACAAGCATATTTCATTTTACATACTTTAGGTAAAAACATATGTCAATAAATATTTTTTTTAATAGTATATACATATAAGCACATAATTTACTCTCAATTGTGAATTTTTAGCAGAACTTGCAAAAAATATATCTTTTGTTTAATAAAAATGTGTGGTTAGGTATACATAGATTAGACATTAACTTAAACGTTTTATTTTTTCTACGAATATTTGGCCTTGAATATTTTATTTTTTTCTTTATTTCTAATGTATTAATTTACATGTGAAATATAATGACTCAGTAAATAAATATAGCACAAAATACTCAAATGGATTACGTTAAAACAATTCTACTCGACAAGCACATTCTCTGCACAAATCACACAAGTTTATGCAATTTACGTTTGCACTACTTTAAGCATCAAAAATGTTGCGAGCTACGGAAATAAAGAAGTGTTTCACGTCAGCGTCAATTTCAATTGTCGCGTACACAAAGACGGTCGTGCAATGCGCAACGCGCAACTTTCACTCATGCGTTGCACGTTGAATTTACATAAATTTTTAACACATCGAACGACGAATTAGAGAGACCGTCATTTCAGTAGGAAAAAAGATTATGCAAAAGTCGTGGTGTCAACATAGACATTTTTATTACTGCCTTCGCGGAGCGATAAAAAAAAAGTATACCGACCCGATCATGTTGAACAGGCGAACGTAACTCAGCGAGCATGACAGAGCACCCAGCCTTGACTAAACGTTTCTCTAAGCCGATCGCTTCTCTTATAAGAGCAACGATACCGTTTCTATTTATTCATCCCCACTCGCTTGTGCGAATTTCCGGAAGCCAAAACGAACGCGCGTCTGATTTATATCGTTTTTATTTTTATTTTAAGCGCACATTTTTCATTTTTTTTTTCTCGAAAATTTTGGAATTATCGCGGCCACCAATATTATTCGAATCTGATATGACAATTTTATTAAAAATTAATGTGGTCAACTAAAAAACGGAGTATAATGTCTGCAGTTATGCGTGATGAATCTTGAGAAGATACATGTCAAATGCAGTTGTTTCATTCCTATACTATTTTTATATTGATAAAATAAATAATATAATAAATAAGGTTCATAAATAATGATATGTACACACACACACACACACACACACATGTATAGATATATATATAGGTATATATGTATGTAATATTAAGTGTCTTTTCGGCCCTGTCACACTTTCCTAACATTGAGCATAAATTATTTTACTGGAATAAAAGTTTTAATACAATATATGCATATAGTATAATATATAAATAAATATTAAGACCAAAGAGAGATCTCTATTTAACATTCAGTATATGGCGGATTACGAATCAAAATTTTCCGGAGTTTATATTAGTTTAACAATAATAACGAGATATATTTTATAAAGGAATATTTGTTTAGAGAATTTGTATTTCCCCGCAATAGATTTTCCCCCGGATGGATTAATATCTAGAGATTACGTGTCACAGTAAAATTAAACCCAGGGAAGTACAGAAACAATCGCTAATTATTCCGAGTATTTCAATAGCAATCTTTCTAAAAACAAGTTTTCTCATAGTTTTGTATTGCATAATCATAATGTCCACGATTACGAATATCATATAATATTACAATATTAATATTATTCTAAAAGTAGTACACACATCATACAATGATAAATGATACGCGTCTCTAAATAAGTTACATCTACGCAACGATAGATAAAAAATAGAAATGCCGAAGTAAAAAGAAAACAATGTCACAGCATTATTACTGTAAAAAGCATAAGAATAAATGCAATATAAATTAAAACAATGCCGCATGTATTCAAACACTGAGAGCCATCATTGAGAGAGAGAGAGAGAGAGAGAGAGAGAGAGAGAGAGAAAGAGAAGTCCACTGTACGTATTTAATGCTAAACATAGCCATATCTTCACTATGCATATTATATGCGTAGCGTATTCATACATATGTACAAAACGTTACATATGTAATGAGCGTTTTATAAATAAATTATCGCATCTCTTTTATTTTTATGCGACGGCGTCGAGCATAAAAGGAGAATTTCGTCAGAGAGAATTTTCATAGAACGAATATTCACAGCTCGATCTTATATTTAAGATCTTATAGGTGGGATTCAGTACAAATTTTAAATATCTAAAATGTAATCTTAAATATTAAAAAATTCGATTTTCTATTAAAAATTATTTCGATCCCCTGCAGACCATAGACGGAATATTAAAAACTACCTAAGATCAGATCTGAAACGATCTTAAATACAAGGTTGGACTGTAAATACTTATTGCTTCTCTTACTCTGATCTTGGGCGAGCTTAAGATTACATTCAGCTAATAAAATTATTATAAATATAAGATCGAATTTTATAAATGCCGCCCATTGATCGAGCCTATAGAACACTAGCGATTATCTCGAAGTATAGGGACTGTCCAGTCTTGGGGACACGCACGGTGTGTTTCTAGGGAAATGCGTTGTCATCTTCGCGTCCAGCAGAACTCCAGACTCCCAGAGTGCCGTGCCGGAACGAGACGGTGATTTGCTGACTGCTTAGAAAACGGCGGAGTCATTTCGAGTTTCCTGCAGAACAGTGAATATTTCGGACAGCCGAGACGATGACGGCGAGATACGACAGAGCGATCACGGTTTTCTCGCCAGACGGCCATCTGCTCCAGGTGGAATATGCCCAGGAAGCTGTCAAGAAAGGCTCGACGGCGGTACGTTGAACAGTGCGATCTAACCTCCCTTCTTCCTAAGTTGGAGTGTCACGCTTTTCGAGTATATTTTACCGAGTCCTCTCGTCTGTCCGTCGATCTGCGATCTGTTTGTTGTCATGCACGGGATTTTAATTATAACCGAGTAACTTTATTCATCTACTTGGCGTTATGACTCTGCGCGAATCTTTTATACAGGTTAGGTTGATAGTTCTGCAGCTGGACATGTCATTTCAGTCTCGTCTTCGTCACATCACTTTGTAGCATTCTATTCTTGGAAATAAAACATTAGGAGTGACACAATTCTAGCTGAAATTCTTAACAAAATTAATGCTATTTATTTTTGGCTTGCTAAACGCAGGTTGGCGTACGCGGCGCAGACGTAGTGGTCTTGGGTGTCGAGAAGAAATCTGTCGCTAAGTTGCAAGAGGAACGTACGGTGCGCAAGATATGTCTCCTGGACGATCATGTAATTATGGCTTTCGCAGGTACGTTATTGGCTTGAGGATAAATATTGTTTTTATATATTTTACGTTGCAAATGGAATAATTGTTTTTAATCTTCTTAACAGGTTTGACCGCTGACGCAAGGGTACTGATCAACCGTGCGCAAGTTGAATGCCAGAGTCACAAATTAACTGTAGAAGATCCTGTTACCTTGGAATACATTACGAGGTATATTGCAGGTACGACTAGAATTTGCACTCTTCCGCTGAACAGAAAACTAGAATCTTCTCTAGTATACGTACACGAGACGATGTTTGAGATCAAATTTGGGAGTCAACCGCTCTTACATGGAGCCATGAATCTGACAGAAAAACTAAAAACGGTTGTTATTTACAGGCTTAAAACAGAAATATACACAAAGTAATGGCCGTAGACCTTTTGGAATATCCTGTCTCCTAACTGGATTTGATTACGATGGTGTCCCACATCTTTATCAGACAGAGCCATCAGGGATATATTACGAATGGAAGGTACGTGAGTTCAATTTCCTAAATCTTTTATCAAATAATTGAATGTAATTATTTAATAGCTAAATTTCATATCAATCTCTTCTTTCACAAAGGCGAACGCAACAGGTCGCAGCGCCAAGACTGTACACGAATTCTTGGAGAAGTATTACACCCCGGAAGAGGTATCGACGGAAAAGGGTTGTATAAAATTAGCTATTAAAGCCCTACTCGAAGTAGTTCAGTCTGGGCAAAAGAATCTGGAAATAGCGGTAATGCGACGCGGGCAGCCATTACAGGTATATCTGCAATTTGTATCCAGATGCACGAATTTGATCTCACATGACCGAAGATTTGATCTCACTTGACCGAAGATAATTTTCCACTATTTTTAAAACATAAATTCATAATCCATATATTTTAGATGTTGGATACAGACACTATAGGCGAATACGTAACGGAAATCGAAAAGGAGAAGGAAGCAGAGGCAGAAAAGAAGAAACAGAAAAAGTGATGCCTTGTGTTCTACTATACACTCAACTATACTACCATTATTAATTTTTCTTATAAAATAAACATATTGCAACAGAAATAGAGGGAGGAAGGCATATAAATGGAACGCGATGAAATTTGTGATTTTTTTATTCATACTGTCTACTGTCACAGAACCGTGTAAAATGTGTATACAAAACCATTCGCCGTATATTTTAAAGTTTTAAGATTTAGATTAATATTACGAGGACAAAGATCATAATCTGCTACGAGTTGTTTTCCAGCAATAAATTATTAAATTTCATATCTACGTAATACATCAAGTTATCGTTTGCTTTATATACATATATATCTTGCCTTCTTAAAAGTGATATATTTTTAATTTTAATATATTAATAAATACATTACATGATTAAATTGATACCACTAAATATCAATAGATCTTTGCTGTTCTAACTGTGATTTAACAAACAAGATAAATGATTTGATATTTTTGTCAATGATCTGATATCAAAATATATCGTTTTATTCTTGAATATATTCTGGAGATAGAGATCTTCCACGATGATTAAATACTTGAAAGGATGGTAGATTTCGCAGCGTCTCCCAAGATTTATTCTCCAAATCGACAACTGCCCGAATCTCTTTGAAATCGCCAGCGATGTACATAACGCCATACATGACGACAAATAAACTGGCTATACCTTGGATTAAAATCTATAACAAGTAGTAAAACATTCCAAGATAATGTTAACTTCATTGAACTTGGGTAATATTTTATGCAAAACCAATAACTTTTGGCTTTTTATATAGAAAGCAAGTAGCTAGCTTATCATGAACCATAACTCACATCGATTGGCAAAGTGGTAAACTCCTGTTCGGTGATCCGCAAGTAGGAACGATCTATAAAAAGAAAGTAATGAAATCGGTAACTTTTTATTCCTTTCTAACTGCTCTTTGTTCGCCTATCATCTCGGAAATTTGATCATGCACGTATTTTACTTTAAATACATAAAATGCAAAACAAACGAATCTGTAAACTCTTATCAGTCTAACCTAGGAAAGTGATAAACTGAAGGAATAATGCGAGTACTCACGCTGTGCCGCCGAATAGGCTGCATGTAATATAGAAATAAATCCTACGAAAGTTATAAATTTATGTATAGCCGTAGCAGACATGACGAGCGTATAATATCACAGATCAGGCCAGAGAGAAGAATGAGGATGAGAAACGAGTGAAACGACACGGCCCGGTTTTAACCTAACTTTTAGGTGATCCGCGAACGCGATACGCCCTCTGGGAACGATGTAAAACATGAACTACGTAGCCAATGTCCTGGTCCACGTTTGGGCCACGGGGTAACACATATCCGTACAAAATTAAAAATTTTGAGGTCTAGCAGCGCCAAGTTTTTTTACAAGAAAAATTTATGTATTTTAATAAAATATTTTTATTTTGTACTGTTACCTCTGTAATTCTTTGTGATTAAATCTTTTATTCTATTGAAAAATACATATATAAACTTTGTATTTAAATACAAATACATATATAAACTTTGTATTTAAATACAAATTGTATTCCCTCGTTGGATTAAATATTTTAATAAAATATTTGTATTTTGTACTGTTATCTCTGTAATTCTTTGTGACCACTAAAAAATACATATGTAAACTTTGTATTTAAATATCTTGTATTCCCTTGTTAAATTTAAATAAAAATTTTTAATCTTATAAAATTGTTATCATACATTCTTTTCTAACATGCAATAATATCTTGATTTGAGAACATTGTAATTTGTGGTACTATTTCGTAGATATTTTTACAAAAAAATAACTATTTCTACAAAAAATTAAATATTTTAACAAAAATGTACAAATTTCTATTTCTAGTTCAATTTTGTAGTTATTCATAGAAATTTTTTCCGCCAGGGTATATACTTTGAAAAATAATTGTTGCGCAATTACTTTAAAAAAATAAAACTCAAGTGGTACGTATCTTTGCATTCCCATTCAAGGGTCTTCTCGTTTCAACCCAAGCTTTAATTTTTTTTAATAAAATTATAATATTACAAAGAATCATTTTAATCACAAAGAATTAAAGAGATAACGGTACAAAATAAAAATATTTAATTAAAATAAAATAAATAAATTTTTCTTGTAAAAAAACTTGGCGTTGCTAGACGCCTTGGAATTTAATAAAGTACAAAAATTTTGATTGAATTTAATTAAGCAAAAAATAAACACTTACTATTCCTTCTTCTTTCCGCACTGATACATAATTTCAAATTCCTTTTATTTTAATGAATTCAGCACATCCTTACTGTTTCCTCCTTTGGACCAACGGCTTAACGTCTCTTTCCGAAAGACGGAGCCCAGTTTTCTCCGCACAAGGGGCTGAATCTTGCACGAAGGGGCGCAGCTTTCGGAAAAAATTCCACGGCTCTAGTGGACTCGAACCTGGTTCCTCAGATTACGAGTCTGGCGCTCTACCACTAGACCACACTGCCGCCATAAAGTTTGTCTACTATTTTAAAATATAAAAATTATTAATTTTAACTTCAGTAAAATAAATTTTTCTTTTTAAACATGAATATACAAGTTGAGCCGGAGAACGTCTTTAAAAATAGGTATTTTTTAGGAATTTTTTATAGGGGAACAAAGAAAACGAATAACGTTAAACTTTGCATGTTCTTTTAATCTTATTTTAAGAATATATTTTTATTTTTTAAGTAAAAAAAATGTTCTTTTCTATGTTATATCCTGATCACTAAAAGACGTAAATGAGAGACGAAGTAAAGTTAAACAAGGACAGATATAGAGAAAACAGGATTAGAAATGTTGACATTACCGACTTCGAGGAAGTTCGGCCTTCGCTTTAGGATCCCCAGGGAATCACCAGTTTGTTTTATTTTTATAATCTATATATTCTATATTTTCGTATATTTTTGTATAATGTATAAATATCGACCGTCGACATAAATACCTACAATTTTTTGTCTCAGTCGATATATGAAAACGCACGTGGACACATTTCGTTTACTTTGGCTTAGGAACTGTATGATACTCTATTTTTTTAGTGTGTGATTTTATAAAGTTAAAATTACATTGAAAACAATAGTTTAGCTATTTATATGCTATAAATATGGGGGTAAGTTAAAAAAGTTTAATATATGTTATTTTAATAGATATAATTCGTACCTAACCTCTTGAAAATTTTTGTCTTAATTTCACAAAAATTAAATTAGAATTGAAACTAAATTCCTACATATATGATACATTTTATTTACAGAAGTTATGTAGTTTTTTATGCGTTATATTTATTTTGTAAATCTATATACAATTATTGATTTCACGTTAAATTTTTAATCATGAAGGAGCATATTTTTATAAACTTTTATTTTAATTGTATTAATTTTGTGTGTAAAGTGACTTGTATTATTAATAAATCTTTATCTAAATTTAATGAGAAATTAAAGAGTTTTACTTAAAATAAGTATTTTATGCAATTATTTATTTTATAGAAATTAAGAAAGCAAAAAATCAGTAAAATTAAGAGGAATAATCAGACGAAGACAAAGCTTTCAAAGCAAGGGAAGCTTAAAACTCGACGACATAAATCACCAAAGAAACAACCTCAGAAATCAGCACCACCTCGTCCAGAAATAGCAGAAGAGGAAGAAGAGAGCGATCATGGAAGAGATTTGATGGATATGGTTGACGAGGATGATTTAAATTTCCTAAATAACGCTATATCCAACAAATCCTATAATTTGTTAAAACAGATTCAATTAAACGAGTACGGTTATAGTTTGTAATCTGTAATCTTCTATATCGTCTATAAATCGTACATGTATGTATATTTATTGTTCTTGTATCTATTGGTTTTAGAGCAGACGAAGGCTTGAGCGAGAGAAAAAGAAAAAAAATAGAAAATAATCAACCGTTAGAAGAACTGTATGAGAATAATGTTGCAAAAATTGTGGAGGAGACAGGAGGGAAGTCAATTCGCATGTTGCTTCCCATAAAAACACAAAACGGCTTTATAAAGAAACGTATTATTGAAGAAGACAGTAAAATTTTAAACGAAGAAGGGAATGAAGATACAGATAATAAGGGCCCGGAAAAAAGCAAGGAGGATAATCAGCAAGAGGAAAATAGTGATACGGAAATGGATATGGATACACATGTAAGACTTAAATTATATATTTCAGAAATGTAATATAAAATTTAAAATATGTTATCTATTGGAATTTTTTGCTCAGAATAACTTGCAAGTGACTGATAAACCAGTATCTACCATCGAACTTCTGGCGTGTCGCGAGGAAATACTGAGATCCAAGCGTTTCAAGATAGGCATACTTTCGAGCGGCATATTAGAAAACCCAGAACTTAAATCCGGAAATTTCAAGATATTGCTAGACATGATGGATGAAAGAGCTTCAGAAGTTTACATAACAATCAGGAAACTGGCAATGGTGTCCCTTTTAGAAATCTTTAAAGACTTGCTACCATCTTACAGTATTCTGCAGACTTCTCAGGAAGGAGTAAAGTGTATGTATACATATATACAAGCTTGCAAAAAGATTGCATAATATATACATTATTAATAGGTTCTAATCAATTTTATCTATGACTTTAGTGAAGAAAGATACTCTTGCGCTGCAGAATTATGAAGCTACCTTGTTGAGGAATTATAAAAACTATTTGCAGAAGCTCGAAAAAATATCTAAGATTTTGAGAAGAAAGAAAGGGAACGCACGATCAGCAAACGAGCGAGAAATACAATTGGGCGAGACAGCTGTATCATGCATGTGCGAGCTTCTTACCGTTCACCCGTATTTTAATTTTTCCGTTAATATAGCTAATTACATTCTTCCGTTATTGGATAATAAACGGAGCAGCGTAAGAGAAAAAGTTGCACAATGTATTTCTCAAATATTCAAAGAAGACAAACGTGGTCAGCTATCTCTCACAGTAAGTTACAACAGAAAAGTTATCGTAACATATTTATTGCACTAATAAAATTTCAGATAGTTCGAAAATTAAATCAGTACATCAAGTCGAGGAAACATTCTGTACATCCTGAGGTTATAGCAGTGTTATTGGCCCTTCGCATCAAAGATGTCAATCTGGACAAGGAAAAGGAGGACGAAACAAAGCAGAAAAAGCTCATGTCTCATAAACAAAGGATACTCGCGTTAAGCAGACGGGAAAGGAAGAAGAGCAAAAACCTAGAGCAAGTGGAGAAAGAAATGCTCGAAACGAAGGCTGAAGAAAATAAGCAGGCGAAACAGAAGATTCTCACGGAAATAACGAGCATAATATTTACTATATACTTCAGAATTCTGAAACAAGCTCCCAATAGTAAAGTATTATCCGTGTGTCTGGAAGGATTAGCCAAGTAATTTATATATTGCTACTTGTATCTCTTTATATATTTGCTATATATATTTTACTCGAATATCATGTTTATACATTCCAGATTTGCGCACTGTATCAATATAAATTTTTACCAAGATTTAGTAAGCGCCATAGATAGATTAATAGAAGAGGGTAATTTGGGATTGAGGGAACAACTGCACTGTGTTCAATGTATATTTACAATATTATCTGGACAAGCTGCAGCATTGAATATCGATCCGTACAGGTTTGTATATAATAATTTCCCCTCCATGTACGGAAGGAATCATATTCCTGATATTATCTCTTTCTTATATAGATTTTATGTGCATTTGTATAAAAATATATTGAAAGTCCACTGCGGAAGGACGCACGCGGAAACTGAGATCGTACTGCAGACGTTGCTGCAGATTCTCATTCATCAGCGAAAGAGGATCACGCAGACACGTATGATAGCCTTTGTAAAGAGAATAAGCACCCTGGCCTTACAGTCGCAGCACAACGCGACGCTGGGAACTCTCGGTATTATCAAACAAGTGATGCAGCTTGGAAAAACGGCTCACGTTTTATTGGACACCGACTGCACCGGCGACGGTCATTACCAGGTCGAAATTGAGGAACCTGATTATTGTAACGCTCACTGCACCGCGTTATATGAGCTCGTTGCTTTACAGGTATATTATCTTTAATGCGATACTTCTTTTGCTTGAAGACGATCGAACGACGGATAACATAATAATTGATCTTACAGCGTCATTATCACAGTGTAGTACGACAACTCGCTAGAAATATAGCGTACACCACACCTACGAGCGGTGAGGGCAGCTTGGCTATCGAAATTGCGAAGTTGTGAGTACCGATTTTGTTTAACAATTATGATAAATTATTGTTGTACGTATCTTCTTATCGTACACATTTTTGTTAAATATATAGATATAATTGTGTTGGATCTTTTTACATTGTTCATTTTATTAATTTTAGATCGCCAGAGGAGCTCTACACGGAATATGATCCTGCGGGTGTAACGTTTAAGCCTGCTGTGCCTATTCCAAAGAAGATTACAGTTAAAAAAGCACCGGTGAATTATAGCATGAGTCCTAAACTCGAGGAATATGTTAATACTGTCGATGTCGGCAACTTATTTGCGGACGGGCATGTGGACTTTTACAAAGCCTGTAAAAGTAATTTGTAACAAGTATAATAATAAAGGATGGAATGTATATAAAAAAGTATCGATGTTTCGATCGATAAATTTCACAACAATATTTAGAATAATTTCTTTATTTAGAAACTTTAGGACGACAATTAATTTAGCCAGCAAAGTCAAAAATCTTGAGCTGTACAATTCATCGTTTCTAATTTAATCTTTCCACATATCAAATGAATTAATAAATAATTAATAGTCCGTATTATAGCAATTAATATTTGATAAATTAATCCAAGTTGAGTCTAAGTCGCTCTAAAGCTGAATTGGAGATCGAGCACGAACGAACGGACTCGTTCGCGCTCGTTCGCTTGACGCACGACGACGCGACGATTGCCGAACGTCTCCGATTCCGCGGATTCCGTCTATCAATCACATTCCTATCCGCGCACGTCCGAATACTCCGAATTGCGATTTGTGGTTATGTGTTTTGACACGCTTTGACATTATCCAGAGAAGCCAGGAGCACGTCATAATATTTCGCCCAGGATGATGTCCGAGAGGGATTACGCGCCCCTGAGCGCGGCATGCGTACGATCCCTCAATGACAAGTTGTACGAGAAACGGAAGCCAGCCGCCGTGGAGATAGAGAAGTAAGGTTATTCTGTACTATGTGTACAATTGCATCGCTGCGCGTTTCACGGAGCCCTTTCCTCTTCTTTTCCCCAGGTTCCTATCGATCTCCCGAGTCGCAGTTAAGCAGTCCTTAAAGAAGTTGTAGATTATTACTACGCAAGAAGCCTCGCTCCGTTTAATGATTGATCGATATATGCTTTTTGTTAATCCGACAGGATGGTGAAGGAGTTTGCGGCTCACAATAACACCGTGCAGATCAAGAGACTGCTGAAGGTTCTTGGGCAGGACTTCGCCACCTCGCAGAATCCGCATACGCGCAAGGGCGGTTTGATAGGCCTCGCAGCGATCGCGGTCGGTCTTGGAAAGGACACTGGTCAATACATAGAGGACCTGATTCACCCAATCCTAGCATGTTTCTGTGACGCCGATCTGAGAGTCCGATACTATGCCTGCGAGAGTCTGTACAACGTAGTCAAAGTGGCAAGGGGCGCGGTACTGCCTCAGTTTACAGACATTTTCGCCGCTCTCAGCAAACTGGCTTGCGACTCTGAGCAAAGTATAAAAAACGCCACAGAGTTACTCGACAGACTAATGAAGGTAGCCGGCGAATACTTTAAAGAATTCTTAAAGATGCAATTTCTCCTCTTTTTACAACTCTCACACTCTCACGCATATTCTGTTTTCAGGACATCGTGACGGAAAGCGGCCTCTTCGATTTAGTCGGATTCATGCCTCTGTTGCGCGAGCGTATCTATACGAAGAACCCATTTGGCAGACAGTTTGTGATATCATGGGTATCCGTGCTGGACGCGGTGCCCAATATGGACTTCACAATATTTCTACCTGAGATACTCGACGGATTGTTCAGGATACTGGAGGACCCAACGCCGGAGATCAAGAAGGTCACGGATACGGTTCTCGGTGAATTTTTACGTAGCATAAAAGCCAATCCCGCGAGAGTGGATTTTCCGGCCATGATAAACATACTGATTACACATGCTCAGAGTAGCGACGAGCTGCTTCAATTGACCGCCATCACATGGATCAAGGAGTTCGTACATCTTTCCGGGCCGCTTATGTTACCGTACATGTCCGGCATTCTCGTGGCCGTTTTGCCCTGCTTGGCCTACGACGGCGACACACGCAAAAGTATTAAAGAAACGGCAACGCAAGTAAATGCAAATTTAATGAAATTAATAATCGTCAAGAGTACAGAAATTACAAACAAGGATCAAGAAAAGGTACATCCTACAAAAGAGAAGGATGGTAAGCAGCAATTCAATTGCATTGTGATGAGTTAAGCGGCATTTTGAATCGTTTCTAACATAACACGAGTATTTCAAATTACTGCGACGGTTGTTTGAGATCAGACGCGATTTAAAATTCTAATCATTTGTGTGATTAAATTATTTGCAAGTTTGGGAGAGAGAATTAAACATTAATCTTTGTATCATTTGGAAAACATATTGTGCATATGTGGTAATAATAATAATAATAATAGATTTCCTTTTTCTTTCACTTTCAGATGTAACACAAGATCATTCTCTGGCTGAAAACTTAGATCTCGCCAGCGTAGTGGAGGTGCTTACGAAACACTTACTGTACCTGTCGGTCCAAACTAAAGTTGCAGTTTTAAAATGGATACATCACTTGTTTATAAACATTCCACAAAAAATGTTTAATCACATCGAGGACTTGTTTCCGATATTAATGAAATCTTTAAGTGACACTTCCGACGAGGTGGTGCAACAGACTTTAGTGGTAATGGCTGAGATTATCAGCTCGAAATCTCCGGAGGCGGTAGCGGCCGATCCCAACGCAAAGATGCAGAACAAGTATTTCACAAAGTTTATAATCAATTTATTGAGACTCTTCTCGACCGACAGACATTTACTGGAAGAACGGGGCACTTTCATTATAAGAGAGCTGTGTACGCTTCTGAGCGCGGAGGATATATACAAAACTCTGGCCAAGATACTGCTGGAAGAACAAAATTTAAGCTTCGCCTGTACAATGATACAAACCCTGAACGTTATCCTGTTAACCAGTTCCGAGTTATTTGATTTGCGCAACAAACTTAGGCATTTGGACTCTCCAGTAAGTTTCTCCGTATATTCAGCTTTCCCGTGAAATTTTATTTAGTCGAACGTGATGGTATCAGTTCCGTTACAATCAGCTATATAAATAAAACAATATTCATGACTGGAATTTTTTTTTAGGACAGTTGCGCGTTATTCGAGTGCCTGTATGTATCCTGGTGTCACAATCCAGTTGCAACAGTCGCCCTGTGTCTCCTGTCTCAACATTACCGACACGCGTGCAACATCATTCGATCTTTGTATCCTTTATTCTATTCCTCTCTCTCATTCTACTTTTATTATTTCAACGAATGTTTTTAAGACCTTAACACAACGTCTGTATATATCAGCGAAAATATAGAGGTTACAGTGGAGTTCCTAACGGAGATAGATAAATTGGTACAGTTAATAGAATCACCGATATTTACTTGTAAGTATGTGGCATTGCTAATAAGAATATTAAAAGCGCGTTACATTTCTTCTTCTTTTTTTGTTCAAGATCTGAGATTGCAGCTTTTGGAATGGGAGAAGAATGATGCTTTAATATATGCATTATACGGCTTGCTCATGATCCTGCCGCAGAGTGATGCCTACGCTACTTTGCAACGTCGTTTAGCGGCGATACCTCCAGCTACGAAGCCGATATCTAAAAGTGATCACTCGCAGGAGAAAACTGATGCTAATTGCCCGTTCGATTTCAACAAACTGTTGAAACATTTCCATGCAGTACAAGAGCACCACAGGGAACAAAAGCGCAAACAAAGACTGAATTCCTTAGTCGAGAGGAATACTAGTCACGTAGATGTATGAATCACGCGTTCCTTTTTTCACGCGCGAAAATTCGTACGCACGGATTTTACAACGCATATAAGAGAAAAGACACGCCTGACTTGCTAATTTTTTACCGCATAATTTTACTGCATAATGTAAAACTTATGTTTAGCTTTGTTATATAAAAATATAATTATTATTTATTGAAACGCAATCGTTACTCGTTGAAAATAAACGGTCATATCGTTGATCTTGAAGTAAAATCTTAAGTCATTTAGACGAGGGAATAGAAGTACGAATTTATTTAACATTTACCTTAACAATTTATACACTAACAAATCGTACGGATATATCGGAGTTCTAATATATACATTCTAAGGCCGGTATTCATAGTCGGTTTTTATTTTAAGACCGTCTTAAGTCTTAAGATACTAATACGGCTTTGTGATTGGTTAATGACTATAAGAACCGACTATGAATACCGGTCTAAGTTTCAGTCTTTATCTCGTAATTATTGTCAGATTGATAAAGAAATGATAGACGCGTATATTAAAATTCATATCCCGCATCGGCCATGTCTTCTTCCATCCTCTCAATTGTTGACAAATGGTCAAGTTGGTCTATAAGCAGACCGTTTTCACAAAGTAGCATCGCGATGTGTTCTTGCGTGTCACAGATGTTGCGCCATTTCTTCGTGCTTTCCTGCACTGGCACGCTCGTTTTTTCGATCGTTTTCGATTTGCCGGGCAGCCTATCCAACGAGTGCAAAAGATTCTCATTGCGCTCCTTGCTCTCTTGCGACAAACGATAGGAGAACGATTCCAGCACGCGTTCGTAACTGTCGATATCCTTGTCTAATATCTGAGTCTGTAGGAAGACTGTTTGTGCCATTTTATACCAATCGGCGACGCACTCGGATCGCTGCGTCATTGCCGGTATACACTCCGTCTCGAGAAGCGCTTTCAATCGACGTCCCGTTTCCGTGACCTGTTTAATGAAGGAGATTGCGACATTTCAATGAATCTCGCGAGAAATAATTCGTGCGAGTTTTCTATTTCTGTCTTAATTTGTAATAACGGATTAGGAAACTCGATACGTAAATGTACGTACCTTTATGCGTTCAAGAACATGGAATTGTTCGTCGTTGTAAGTGAGACTACGAGTAGCCCTGTCCCTCAGTAAATGTTGCCACCCATCCCTCAGGCGATCGACCAACGTCGCTGCCCTTTGGCTCGCTTTCGTGGCCCACGGGCACCACAAACCGCGAGTACTGTTATCCCATTCTCCACGCAAGCTGCCCTCTTTTACATATCTGCAATAATATTTACGCTAATTACCTACATTTCATGAAATTACATTTCATATTGCGAATCGCAAGATCGTAAGAATTGAATGCTCAGAAACGGGAGAACAACCGCTCGCTGTCAATGAAATTAATCCTTTTTTCTATTCGGTGAATTTTCTCAAATGCAGTATTTAGATGTTTTGCATCTTTTGAGATAACTTACCTCTGATGAAGTTGCACTATTGCTGGAGTCAGTTCGCTCATAAGTTCCTTGCTCTTCACGTCTAATTCTTTTCGCCAGCTTTTGACCTCCACCGCAGTTTGACTGCCAAACTTTCGGAACACGTGCCTGGCAAAGGTCTCGCTTCTCTCTACCGCCAGGACAGTATCCTCCACCGCTTTTGTAAATTCTTTCGAATGCTGACATTTTTCCAACACTCGAGTAAGCTCCGTAGATAAGAGACCGCTGAACGCGTCTATGGCGTCCCGTGACAATTTGCTGCACAAAGCCAGTTTGTCGATTCTACGTTTACAGACGTGTCCTACGGAGCACGCGACTTTAGCTTGGCTCGCGTCGTTCTCTACGGAAACGAGATTCGCGAAGACGGGAAATTTAGGCAGCTCGGTCTCCGTCGGCAACACGACGTTGTTATTCTCTCGCGAAAACAGCATCAATGGTTTGTCGTTGCTAGTATTGGGATATCCCTTGCCTGGCGTAGACTCCTCGACGAGATTCGTGAGGGGAACCTCCCCGAGAAGAAGAATCTGCGCGTGAGGCATAATTTCGGTCTGGTCCTGAATGTGTATTTGCAAAGCGACTAGCTTCTCTTCTGGATGTAGGAAGACCTTAATCAAGCTGGCTCTATGAATGTTAAATATATGAACGGGTTTTCTGCAAAGCGTGTCTGTGACCTCGCTGAAGAATCGCTCAAAGCTCCAGATCCTTTGCGGATCGACCTCGAGTAAGCCGGCCAACAGCGGAGTCACTATCTTCTTCAGGCCCGTGCTCAGCTGGCAGGTCTGCGGCAATTCCCTGCTCCACTCGATTGGCCCGTTCTCCGAAGTCTGCAGCCCAGATATCACGCCCGACGCCTTCTTCGTGGTGATGTAGAACATAGTCTCCTTATTTCTTCGCCCGCCGAACGGCCTGAACGGCAGATTACCCGTCGCAACGTGATAGAGAGTCACACCTATGGACCACAAATCAACGGTCGCACCGAAGGTCTTGCCGACGGGTTTTCTCAGAACCGCGCGTTCGTACATATCCGGATGCAGGTACTCTTCAGTGCCGTACAGCGAAACAAACTGCTGATCCTCCTGCAATTCCCGAGCTGCTCCGAAGTCAGTAAGCTTGTATATCGTACTGCCATCGTCAGCGATGAATTTCATTATATTACCTGCGCGAGAAGAAACAGAGGATAACCAAGAAACTCCGACTTCCGAGTGCAAAACATGTACATGTAAAGTGTTGAGAATATAAGTGAGAACAAAGTCACGCGACATCGGTTTTGAATAAAACTAAATGAAAAATTGTGTTTTGTAACAAGAAAAACAAGAGCATTACTTTAGCTTTATAGATTTCCCGATTGTATCTTCTGTATGTATCATGTCATGATATCACGAGTGACGTGTCTCGTGGATCTCTTACCTGGCTTCAAATCACGGTGAACTAAATTGTTGTCGCGCAGGTGCTTCATGCCAGCTGAGAGGTGCTCGAGCACCAGCAGGAACTCGCTCTCCGCGAGGCCGTACGTGTTCTCCGGGTCATCCAGGATGTTGAAGAGGCTGCCGCCGGTGCAGAGCTCCATGACGATCACCTTCCCCCTGCCGTCCTGCTCCTCCTCGATCGCCAGCAGCTTCACGATGTTCTCGTGCTTGACCTTCTTCAGGACTTCAAATTCCCGCACCTGCACGTCGTGCGGCCGCATGTGGCTCAGCTGATTGAAAGTCTTGACCGCGACCGGTTCCCCGTTGTTCTTGTTGACACCCTGGAACACCGCGCCGGTCGCCCCCTTGCCGAGCACGCTGGTCGTGCACCAGACATAGTTGGCGGACCCACGTAGGAACGACATGTCGTTCGCGCGAGGCTTCTCCGACTCGGACGAACGGTTTTCGCCAACTTCCTCGACGTCTCTTTGCTCACGGTACGCGCTCTCCTGACAGTCCTGACTCCTCTCGTGACGTCACGTACGTGACACCTTCCGCGTTTCTCCGTGTCGTGTCGATGGACGTACGTCGACGCGTCTCCGTTAGAAAGTCGTCGATCTCCAAGAAGCATTCTCGGCCGGAATGTTAGGAGCAGCGTCAGGCAGCGTATTCCTGAATCTCGAGTACAGATGATTTGGCGTCTTGGCTTGGATATTAAAAGACAGCGTTGGGCAGGTTGGGCTTGGAGTAGCACATGGCAGAGAGAAACCTGAGAGAGGCCATCCCGGTCTTTTTCGTGTGTTGCTGTGTTGCATTTTCCGACGCGCCGCCTGAGAAAGTGCAACTCAACTACGTCGTATCGCTCGGTAACCGCACATGGTTTGCGTCCGTGCTAATGGTTCGTGTCTGAACTAGCCAGCTGGAGGGGATATTATACTGGCCGCGGCGGCCGCGCGCTCGGCCGGCCCGGGAGTTGCATCTGATTGCACCTGTTGATGATATTTTTACCTTATTTTGTATTATATTTTTTTTTACCTTATTTTATATTATATTTTTTAAATATAGATAAATCGCGCAAAAATATCTGTTCCGCGTAAACAGCCACCGTCGCCTCGATATCCCTCACGTACTGACTGTTACTACGTTTATGCGAGCGTTACTTCTGTAGTAACTTACGATACGTCCGTCGCGTAAACGGGATTTTGTAGTAACTTACGATACGTTACTCTGCGTAAACGAATGATATAACGTAAGTTACTACAGAAGTAACGCTCGCGTAAACGTAGTATGAGGGAGTTACGTAATCGCCAGGCTAATGATCACTACGTGTTCGCGATATATGTATATAACACTCGCGTTTCGAGAGACAGCTACGTCGACCAGACACCACCGAGACAGAACGCAGAACGTAGAATACAGCCAGTTAAACCTGTGAATGTTAACGAAAGATTCGGCATACGTTGTCTTTTATTGTTCGTTGAAAGTTTTCGGTATTTTTGAACCGGCCGCGGCCGCGCGCGTAGGCCGTGACGTCATGCGCCGCTCCGCGCCGCCGGCGCGGCGGATCGATACGGTGACGGTGATGTAGTAGGCAGTGTAGGCACCTGCGCAGTCCGTACTAGCGGCGTGACCGTTGAACTCGAAAGCTCCGTACCTCGAAGATCGGCGCGTTTTCAACGTTGTTTCTGGCGATGAGCGGACTTGTCACTTGTTTCCGTCAACGCTCGGAGTAGTGTTACCTGCGTGAGTGACTCAGTTATCATTCTTCCGAGGAATCTCGCACCGGTAGGAAGTGTTTGTGCTTCGCGCGCGCTCGTCACCGACGTCACCGTGCTTCGTGCTGTTTTCGGAACGCGCTCGTTTCGGTGATTGGCATTCCTGCTTCCTCGTTTCGCGGGCCGCGGGAATACGCGCTACGCGATCGAGTACCGCGCGCCGTGTGCCGTGTGTGTAAAACAATTTAGAGTGAATGAGGTGTTTATCGGAATGAACGTGTCGCGCGACGCGCTCACTCGAGACGTCGAGGCGGAGGTATGTATGAACGACTTGCTTTGCAGTTTCGCGCTGTGATATTCGCGAGTGACAGTCGCTCCTTCCGCCATGTCTGGATTCGCGAAGAACGCTGACGTGCCGGACGTGTCGTGTGATTTAGCTCCGATTCTCTCCGTAGGGAAAAAGGGCTGAGAGATATTGATCGTGTCAAGTGATTCCGGTGATTCGATCGGTGATAACGGAACGCCGCGATACATCGCCCGTTCGTGAATGCTTCATAATCTCGATTTACGAGTTTGGTAACGTATTGTGCGTGCGATATTTAATTTCAACAGCGTATCTCTGATTGACGAAGTGCGTGTCTTTATTAACCGTCCGCTCGACTTGCGTAATATCGCGCCAAGTTGCCAACATCTCGGAACATTTCGTCGCCCATTATTACGTCGCCCATTAACAACGTAACGCCGGTAACGCGGTGATGAACGCGGAACGACGCGGAGCACGCGGCGTCGCGACTCCTTCAAATTTGCATGAAAAATTCATGTTACCCGCTTTTATATTACAGAGAAAAGTACTTTTCCTTCCCACGGGTACGACCTTGGCGAGGTGGGAAGGCTCCAGTACCCAGTACGAGGATTTTACCCAAGCAAAACTCTTGTTCTGCTTGGATAAAAATTCAAAGACGGGGAAGCTAACGTACCCTCGTCCGCCGATTTAATTGAATGAACGAACCGCAGCCGGTTCGTCGCGTTTGCTTCGGGAGTGCCGTTCAAGTAATCGGACTAAAGGACTTTTCTAAACGGGAGTGCCGTACAGTATCGCGCGAGAAAGACTTTTAATGAAATTAGTCCGCGCGCGATTGTAGTTTATTATCCGCGAGTGTTTCTCGCGAGTGTCCTGTGCGGTGAGACGATGAAGCCTAAGTATCCCCTGAGAGGAGGAGGAGGCCTGGGAGAGGCATCGGGCACCGGCGGAGCAACCTTGGGGTGAGTATCATCTCTTTATATCTGCGTAAAATTAAAATAGTTCTTTTTTATTTATTCGAATTGTTTTATCTCGATAAATTAAAAATAATTAGAGAAAAAGATTATCTAAAATTTTACTCTTATAAAGATCGTTTTCGGTGAACACAGATGATTGTGTTGCTAAATATTTTATTGAAAACAAATTAGTTGCGCGTAAAAATTATATTTTGAAAAATGTTGATTATTTTGAACGCTTCTTTAATTTGAATCTTATGTTTGTATGTTACAGTATCATCGTAGCTACGTGGCTGAACAACTCCGCCCGTTGCACATCGGCGTGGTGAGTCAGAATTTTTTTTATTGAAATGACAAATCTACGATTAGTCAGATATAGAGCCATTGTATCTCGGAACATATCGACGCTTATATATATAAATTAATTAAGTCAGGGTTTTAGGAAGTCGCGTCCGCGTCGCGTATACGTCTTCCCCGGGAACGCCGCCGCCGCGGTGCCGGGTGGAAGATCCGTCATGCCACGCGCCACGTCAAATCTGCACATACACATATATACGTAGGGACATGCGATTTCAATATGCAATATTGCGACATTTT